TGTTTAAAAAAAAAAAAAAAGACCCTGAGCTATGGAAGAAAAAGAACAAAAATACCCCGCAGGTCATCAAAGCCCATGTCCCCTGGGGCACAGTCATTGCCCAAAATATGCTTCTCAGTGCTTTGCTTGGCCTAGATTTAAATGCCGTGGCTCAGCCGGGCTTCTGCTCCAGGCCGGTCACACCCTCCAGCTCACAGGGACATCAAGGACTCCGGGCCCTGGGGCTTTGCCACAGTGAGGCCCCTTCTCCTCCCTTCCCTCCTGCTGCTGGGTTCTTTGCCTCTCCTTGACCCTTGTTTAACATGAGTCGGCACACTGAATTGTTCCCGGGGATCTGAGCAAGCCCCCCCTTCTGAAACCCATCATTTTTCATTTTTATGCCTCGAGCTTTGGCGTTCCAGCAATCCCTGGGCTATTTCGGCTCATGAGAACTCTGCCCCCCTCTCTCCACCACCCTGTGCCTGTCTGAGCGAAACATCTGGAAAAAGCCGAGCAGAATGGTGGAGCTGTCCCGCTGCCCCCCAGGGGCCCCAGGTACCTTTCCTTCCTGCTGGTCCTACCCTCCCCCCACATCTTCTATCTTGCACCCCCCCAAGTCCTGCCGACCCATGTCCAGCCTCCCCACGTACTCCTGTGCTGGGTCTCTGTCCTCCCTGACGTTTGCTATGTCTCCCAATTTAGTATCATCTGCAAATTTAATTAACATGCCATTGCCTCCTCGTTCCAGGCCATTAATGAAGATGTTACGGCAATAACAATATTTTCAAGGTCACGAGGAGGGGAGCGCTCGGCCGGGTGCGTCCGCCCAGCATGAGGGAGGCGGCCATCAAGTGCCCACGCGTGTCTGGGCCGTTTCCTCTGAGTGCGGTGAGCTTGCTTTCGCAGACCTGGGTCAGGTTCTCAGGCCTCCCCTCGGCCTCCGCAACCCTGGGCAAGTCCCGCTTGGAAAATGAGGAACCCTGAACCGTGCCTTTTTCACTTTTCTCTGCTTTTCTGCAGGAGAAACAGCCACTAATTGAGTGTGTGTAGGGAGAGCTGATGGGCATGGTAAAGACAAAGCAGCCATTATTAGGCTTGTTATCCAGGCTCCTCTCCACTCCTCAGGCAGAATCTGTGTCAGCGGAAAATACCCATCAGCGCCCACAGCGCCCGCCCGATCTGGGGCGAGGAAAGATTGAGTCCCAAGGGCCCAGGGGCTGATCACAAGGTCTCAGCCTGGAGGGGCCGGCAGGGGGGCCGTGTCCTTACCGAAGCTCGCACCCCGACACCCTGGCCCGGAAGCAGACCTGGGGCCCCCACGCGGCCGCCCTATCCCTTCCATCCCAGGGAATGGGGGCCTGAACCCCAGTCACCTTCCTTCCTCCCCAAACTGTGAACCTCGGACTTAGCGCTGCATGTTTCTTGGGTTTGATACAGTGAGTCACAGGAGAGAGCCCCGAGGGCACCCCCAAGCCAGAACACCCCCCAGTTATTTTCTGTTTCCAGCCCCTGCCTCCCACCCATCCCACCCTGCCAGCCTGTGCCGGGCTCCAAAGCTCCGGTTGTCACTTCTGAGTGTCTGGAAGGCACCTCTGCACCACAGCCCACATCAGCCGCAGGAATAGGGCGCAGAGGGTAGAGCTCTGCTCAGGGGTCCCCAGGGTCCCCGGGGAGTGGCTGCAGGCTCCGAATCTCTGTCCTCTTCCAGTCCAGGCCTGGCCTCCCCAGCTGCCTGTCCAGTGCCCAAGGGACACAGAGCCCTGTCCCAGTCCAGAGTCCCTGCAGGACGTGGCTCAGGGAGGGAGGAGTCCAGGAGAAAGTCGCCAAGCCCCAGCATGGCCCTCAGCCCCGTTTCCTACCAAGCCCCAGCCCCTGAACACCCCAGCTTTGTGCAGCCCTGGGCCTCTGTCACCTGTGCCCCTGAGACAGCGCAGGATGAAGGAGAGCGGCTGCACCCCAGCCGTGATTTCTTCATGGACACGGAAATTCAATCTGCACATCATTAAATACGATTCTTTTAATTTCTTAATTATGATGAATCTGGAGTTCCAGCGGCAGCTCCCAGACTTCCCGGGAGCAGTGGGGACTCTGCTGTCTACGCTGGAGGTGTGGGTGTTGATGGCCTCTCTGTCACAGCCTGTGGTGTCAAGGTGACCCTGTCTTCAGAGCCCCTCTGGAAACAAGGGCCGTGGGGCTCCAAGCAGGCTGGCCGAGGGGCTCCAGTTGATTGCAGGCCCTGGCGTTTCAAGCCCTGATTGCTCAAGCTGTACCACAGGGCCTCTGGAGACTCCTTACCTTACCCTCACTGAAAGGGGCTGAACGGCTGTGTTGGGATCGAAGCTCTGTGGATGCTTGCTTCTGAGGGAAAAGCCACAGGGTTCCCATCCCTCCTCTGGAGGTTGGGGTATTGCTGTGGAAGGCGCTGCTGGCCAGTGTGAGCCCCCGGGGAAGTGGCCACTCCAGATTTCCCTGCCTCAGCCTCTCCCTTCTCCAGTGCCTTCTCCCCACACCCGCTGTGGTCCAGCCTGTCACATTCATCTCATCCTCTTCATGAGGCCACAAGGCTCCCCTGCACCCTGACACACAATCTCAAATCCCACAGTTAGGCGTGACGGGCCCCTCCCAGCCACACAGGGGACCCCTGGGAGGCAGCGTCCTGGGTGTGACTGTGTACCTGTGAGCCCTCCCCCAGCTGGCCACCATCCAGCCTTGACCTCAGAGGGTGCCTCATTTACTCATCTGTAAAGGAGAGACCTGACAGTACCAACTTCAGGGTGTCACCAAGTGTAATCAGCCTCGCTCTCCGGGTCTCCTGGGGGTCTGGAGGTGACTCGGCCAGCAGCAGTGACAAGGGTCGTGACCCCGGGTCGTGGTCATCTTTCTCCCTCAGATCTCTAAGAGGACACTTCCTGGACAGGCCTGGGGCTCCCTGATCATGGCTACAAACTTCTAGAACCTTCTGTACCTCACCACACTCCTCAGCGCTCTGTGGGCTTGGGCCCCGCATAGCCCTAGACAGTCATTTTCTCTCATTAATTGGCCGAGATTCTGCCATGCCGGCTGGAACGCTTCCTTCCAGGGGGAGATGGCAGAGAAGTGTTTGGCAGAGAGAGAAGTCTCACAGAGAACGATCCTGACAGAGCCGGCCTGGAGGTGTTCAGCATCGCATATGTAAGGACCAAAAGAGAAAAGATGCTCATTAAAGTGCTGCTTTCGGGGCTGGGGGTTTAGCTCAGCGGCATAAGCACCTGCCTTGCTAGCAGGCAGTCGTGAGTTCGATCCCTGGTACCGATAAAAAGGAAAAAGACCAAAAAAAAAAAAAAAAAAATGTGAAGTGCTGCTTTCAGGGCCACCATGTTCTAACCGCACAGGAAGAGGACCCCTAGGGGCTGGCTCCACTGAACCCCAGCTGCCTCATGGAAGAGGCCTTCCAGGAAAGCCCCGGGAGCCTGCAACGAGGCAGGCAGTGCCCATGGTTTCTGTGAGCCCCCAGCGGGGTGGCCAAAGGTGAATGGGCCTCAAAGGAAGGCAGGGGGTACATAAGGGCTGCCAGGCAGGCAGTGCCCAGAGGACAGGCCGGCCCCTCAGGCTGCTGCTCAGACCACGCTCCTGCCGTAAGTACCGTCAGCTTAGAACATGGACACCGGGCCAGGGCCCATGCTGGAGCTGAGCAGGCCGCCTGGCCGGCACCGCAGCGGGAGGGCGTGGGGCAGAGCGGAGCTGGAAGAGCAGGGAGTCGGCGCCTCGCCTGCGGGATAGGTCCCGCTCCCGGCCCCCCACAACCGAGATGCAGTGGATAGGTCCCGCTCCCGGTCCCCCACAACCGAGATGCAGTAGGTGATGGCATGCAGACTGCCAGGTGGATCCAGAAAATGAGCAGCAATTGGATTTCACCTTTTTTATTTAAAGTTTTTATTGATTCTTATGGAATGAATTAAATGCAAACCCCGGAGAGGGAAAGATCTAAGCATCTCTGTGAGGAAATGGGAGGCCATAAACAGACTCATCCGTCTCCACTGGGAGGGAGAGTGGGCACCCCACACTCCGCAGTGGGGAAAGGACAGAAAGAGGGGTGCAGGGAGGAGCGGGGTGGGGCTCTGCCACCCAGGACCCCCTCTATGCCGCTCAGCTCAGGGCCATGGGGCTCCGCTGGGGTGGCCTTCTGTGAGCCGGTGGGGGCAGTGAGAGGGAGCAGGAACTGGAAGGGGGCAGTTCGGGTGGCCCAGGGACCAAGGCCCAGGGTCCAGAGGGAGGCAGGAAGTTCCACTCAAAGTAAAGCCAGAGCCGGCCCCGAACCCTCCCTGCCCAGAGGCCTCACCATGGCCAGCAGCCCCCCGCAGGACCCGAGCCCCCAGAGCCACGCAGTCTGTGTCCAGCCAGCTATGGCCACCACCCGGCAATCCCGGGGCCTGGGGGTCAAGGAGGAGCCCCAGCCTGTTTCTGAGCCAGAGCACTGGAGCAGGGAGTCCAGAGCCAGCGCTCCTCCCAGCTGGTCCCCAACCCACTCCTGGGATGCTGACCTCTCCGGCCACATGGGCAGAGGGCCCTGGCCTCTCCTTTATAGGCCTGGGGTCTTGACCTGATGCTCCCGGAAGAATCTGGGGTTGAGGGGCCTGGGCCCATCTAATTCCTCATCCTAATCAGTACAGGAGCAGGGGCAATGCCCTGGGTTCTGACAGTAATCTAGGAGTTCTTTCTCTGAATGGGGAGGTCCTTCCAGCCTCATGAGGGACCAGCTGACCCCAGAAACCTCACCTAATTAGAAGAGCTCCCAAGTGAGTGATTCACCTTGTGTGTGTGTGTGTGGGGGGCTGAGTGGCCTTTTCCAGGAGCCCGGCCACCTGGGCCTGCTCTGGGCCATGCTCATCTAGGAAAGCCCAGTCCAGTCCTGAGAGGCCAAGCGCCTGCTTGGGATCACATGGCCACGTGGGGTGTGGACCAGAGTGGCTGGCTCCTGTATACAACGTGACAGTCCAACCCTGCACCCCAAGCCGTGACAGGAGCCCCTGTCATTGTCCAGCTCCGGAATGGTGTCCCCAAAGGCCGCGGCTGCCCTGCTGGTGATACACACGGCCACCATGCTGGCTGCCCAGACGAGGCCTTCATTCCCATCTTCACCTACAGCGAGCTGCGGAGGACACAGGTGAGAAGCCCGGCTGCCCCTCCTGGGGGACCCGGGGGCGCAGGGACAGGAGAGCCCCATGCCAGCCCCTCCCCCTGCCGCCCTGTGGAGGCGCCCAAGAGGTGGGAAAAGCAACCCCTCCCCTGTTTCCAAGGAACAGACTCTGTGCCACCTCGAGGCATGAAAAATTAACTAACATGGAAGACAAAAGAGGGGTGTCACAGGCAGGAGGTGATTAACCACCCCGTAGGGGAGGCTGGCGCTGTGCTGGGGGTTCGGAGGGAGAAACCCCCAGCCTGGAGAGGCGAAGTGAGACAGGAGAAGGCCCCGTGGGCCCCCAGGTGACAAGCAGGCAGGCAGGGCCACAGGGACAGAGAAGAGCTGGGCGCGGCTCTGCCTCCTGCTAGCCGGTGCTGCCAGCCCCCCTCTGACCCCCCTCTGACCAAGGACAGGAAGAAGTGGGACTTTTAACCCCTGCAAGGCCTTGGTCCTCACCGGCCCAGGAAACTGGGCCCTTGCACTGCCCGGCCACCTGCAGTGCGTCTCCACACACCTTTCTTCCGTGCCCTGGGGAGACCAGCGGTCCTGAAATCACTGACCAGGCGCCCACCAAGGGTCTCTGAGCTCAGGGCTGCAGGCAGGGCATGCAGCATGCCATGTGAGCCCAGGGCTGGGCAGACCGGCAAACCCAGGAGGGCACCAGCCTGCAAAACAGCAGAGCCGGGCCGTGTGGCATCCATCGCTCCGTGGTTTCCTCCTCTTAATTGCCAGGCCCCGGGATTTTTATGAAGACACCGCCAACTCCTTCCCCATAATTCATCCCCTGTCTTGCCTCTTATAAATCACTTCCCAGGGACTCGGAGTTCTAGGCCGCCCCGTGGCGCCCTCCCAGCCCGGCTGTCTTGCCACCTTTTTTATAGGCTCTCTGCTAAGAAAGACACATTTTCACACTTAATATGCACGAAAGGCGGCCATTCTTCTCGGCGTTTTAACTTAATTAACAGTAACAAGCTGGGCGAAATGTTTTAACTGCACAGGGGCGAACTCCTCCGAGGTGGCCTGGCCGGCCGGAGGCCACACAGCCTCCAGCCCCTGGGCACCTGGGACTCTGCCTAGGAGAGGCGCTGGGGAGCCGGGGCTGGGGGCAATCTGGGCAGGGGGAGGCAGGTGAGGGGCCATCTGGGGGGGAGGGGAGCACTTCTGTACAGTGCTCTGTCCCCAGGAAAGGGAGCAGAACAAAAGGCTAAGGAAGTCCCTGAGCGTACAGCAGAGGTCAGAGGCAGCAGGGCGGCTGGAGCCCCAGGAGGTCATGGAGGAAGAAGAAAATGGGGTGATCAAGGTGAGCACACCACAGGGCCGCCGGAGAGAAGCGGCATGGGCAGCGGCCCCTGTCCCAACCACAGGCAGTGCCCGGCACGCTGGCACCGGAGGGGGTTGGATGGGAGGGCGACAGGGCCAGCGGGGCCCTGCCTGGTCCAGGGGAGTAGACACAGGGCCTCTCCTGGGACTCTCCTGGATTGAAGAGAAGGAGCTACCCAGCCACATGCGTCACCCTGTTCAGAGCTCACCAGGACCCCGGGGGCTCGGGGAGGGGCAGGAGGGTGGGCCGGGGCACCAGGACCCCCGGAGCGGCTGGAGGTTGGCTCGGCCAATCCCACTGCACAGGCCGTACTCCTAACCCCAAAAACCCCAAGTGATGAAGAAACCAGCCTTTAAGAGGTACAGAGCAGCCAGCGAAAGGGAAAGTCCTCGCCCTCCAGAAGAAGCAGAAATGAGACAGAGGAGGACAGGAACAGTCCACAAGCATGATAAATGACCCCACCCTATGTGAGGTAGACCGTGGCGGTGCCATGTGAGAACGAAGCTGGGCATAGCGATGAGTAGGTCGTGGTCTACACAGTGGGGGCAAAGCAGGCTTCCTAAAGCAAACCTGAAGAAAGCAAGGGAATGAACCATAGGGATGCATGGGGAAGAGCGGTCAGGCAGAAGACACAGCTGGTGCAAAGGCCCTGGGGCAGGGGAGGGGTGATCACACAGAGGAATAGTGGAGTGTTCAGAGGGGTCATCACAGAGAGCCAGGAGAGACAGCGGGTGAGGTTAGACTGTGAGAAGGCAGGGAATTGTTTAGACTTTGAATTCACTCCGCTGCAGTGGGAGCCCTTGGGGGCTCGGAGCAGAGGGAAGCAATCTGCTTTGTACTCCAAAGGGTTCCGGCTGCTGCGCTGAGAACAGACTGAAGGGCAAAAACAGAGCTGCAGAGACCCCTGAGAGGCTGGAGAGGCAGGGAGAGCGATGGGAAATGTTCGGAGGTGGAAGCCAGCAGGGTTTTCTGAAAGAATGGATACAGGATGTGAAGAGAGAGAAACATAAAAGCTGGCTTTAAGGTCCATGGCCAGAACAGGAGGCAGGCGGATGGAGACGCTCGAATGGCTGCAGCTGCGGTGGGGGCAGAGCTGGGGGATTAGACGGCTCTGCCTGCCCGGTGCAGACGGTGCTGGGGCAGCAGGGCTGGGGGTGAGAGGTCAGGGCCACAGCCTGTGTGCGGGAGCTACCAGCCAGCAGGCCGGGAGCAAGGAGGCCACACGGGCACCAGGGCAGGGGGCACAGGCTCCACGGATGCTCAGGCTGCTGACCTGCCAGCTCAGCCCCCTCATCGTCACCAACCTCAGCGGCCCAGGGCTCCTGTCCACCCCACATCCCTGCAACTCCTGGCTCTCCTGGACTGGCGGGATGCATCTCTGAGGTGACAGAGGGTAGGCAGGGGTCTTGGAGGCAGAGCCTGGAGCCAGGGTGGGACATCTTCTCCCTCAGCTGCTTGGGACCCTCATCCAGTCACTCAGCCTCCGTCCTCCAATCCTCATCTGCAAAATGGGCACATTACCAGTCCCTACACTTAGGAACAACACAGAGGAAGCTCTCAGAGTGCCTGGCGACACTCTGACTTTAGCTACTACCATAGAGGGGTGAATTCTCCCCTCAAGAGGAGCCGGGTGGGGTTCCTGCCACTGTCAGCCGCTCCACCTCAGTGCCCTGGTGAAAACCAGGCTGTGCAGGCCTGGGCGGCTCCCGTTGGTCCCTCCAGCCACCTGCACGGCACCTGGGGCTAGCGGCCCTCTCCTCCCCTCTCCCTGCCTTATTTCATAGCTGACTGCTCCAGTGGAAATTGGCGTGGGGCTGAGCTCCAGGCAGCTGGAAAAGCACCGGGCCGTCCTGGAAGCTCTGCTCAGTGAGGCGCTGCCGCCCCCCCAGCCTGGTATTCGGAGGGCAGCGGGTGGGTCCCGGGCTCAGCCAGGCTGGCCTTGGCCCAGTGTTACTATTCCAGTGAGTCTGAGGGCGCGGTCTGCTTTTCCGTTCGCCCTTGAGAATAGATCTGTCTTCCTGGGGCGCACCCCATCTCTGAAGGGGAAGGCAGTGGCAGAGGGGGGCAGGCGGGCTCTGTCGCCTGTCAGTGACCAGCAGAAGGCACCCAAGTTCTGCTTTTCTCCCACTCGTTCTGCAAACCAAAGGCCTGCGCCCCACTCGGCCTTGCCCAGTTCAAGGTCTGCCCAAGTTACTTGTGCAAAGCTGTGTCCCGTTTGATAAACAGCCACTAATGACTTCTCATCCCCAGAGGGAGGCTGGAACAGAGCCCGAGGGGGTGGCATTAGAGCCTGGCGAGGAGAACCTGGGAGGTGACTCCCCAGGCAGGGACAGCACAGCTCCCCATCCCCACCCCGGTGCTGTCCCCCTCCTGGGCCTGGCCTAGGAGGCGGCTTCCCCAGAAGACCTGCTGACACTGCTGAGCTGCAGACCTGTGCTTCCCTGCAGCCAGTGACAGCTGCTTGGGAGTGAGGACCGACATGGGTGCCTGTCCTCCAAGTGCAGCCGGGGAAGACCGCTCTCTCCAAGGCAGACTCCTCCAGCAAATAAAGCACAAAACACCCTGAGAGAGCTGCCTCTCTGATTTAATATTCTAATTTCCAAAGGGCAAACTCAGGTCCCTGGGAAGAGGGTGCAGTGGAATCCAAAGGGAAGAAACAGCCACAAGCATTAGTAAAACACAAGAGCTAAATTTGAACAGCAGGTCAGATGCAGGTCTGATTACCAGGAAGATTCCCCCGGGCCCACATGGTGTGGGCAAATCTGAGCCCAGAGAGGCGGCATTGATTTCCCCGTGAGAAAATTGCTGCTAAGCAAGGCCCGAATACAGTCTCCCACGTCGGGCCGTCCTGTCTCCTCACTGGCTCTAATGGCCAGCACTGAAGATCTGGGCGCTCCGCCCCTTGCTGAGCAACGTCCAGCCAGGCCCTTCACCCGGACGAGCCTCTGCACCGGCCAGGCGGTAATACCCACCTGGAGATGGGGCCCCGCAGAAGCAGGGAGCAAACGGCGATATTATGTCATCGCCTTGTGACCACAGGCTCCAGCGTCCGCAGTAGGACTCGGCCAACCCTCTTATTCCTGCCTTCTAAACAAATCTGGATGCGAAGAAATTTCATTCTAATTCAATTTTATGTTAATGAGTATTCATTTATGTATAAACCAGTGCCTCGGAGGACTCCCAGCCCCCTTCGGTCCATGGGTTACCGGGGTCCATGGGATACCAGGGGTTAGACCCTGTGTCTGCTCTGCATTGTCCCCACGCAAGGGGTGAGCTGTAGCAAGTAGTTACCGGAATGGGGACCCATGTACAGGGAGCTCCGAACTGCCCCCAGGAACACCGGACCTTTGTGGGACCTGAAGCACTGTCTCCCTGCCCCACATCCCTCCCCAAGCCCCCCTGCAACCCTGACCCACCCCAGACTCCCGAGAAACACTGTGAAGACGGGGGCACTGCAGGAAGGGGAGGGGCCCTGCGCCAGGGTGCGGGAGAGAAAGGAGGAGACGCAGGGATCTGCCGTGTGCTGCGGGCGCACTCGCCGTCTCTGAATCAGAACACCAAGGGGCTCCAGCGTCTTTCTGTGCAAACACACACACACACACACACACACACACACACACACACACGCTCTCTGCGGCCTTCCCTCATCCTCTGCTCCAACCTGCCTCTATAGTGAGATCGTCTCCCCATCAGCCCAGCAGCGGGGACCCCCTATATCCTCTCCGGAATTTCTCCTACCCCGCTCCTCCCCCAGCAGCACTGACACAGTGGGTGGGGGAATGGGATCCCTTTGCTATTTCTCCTCAAGCAACCCTGCATCTGTTTAAAAAAACAACTTGTTTTTGAGACAGGCTCTTGCTAAGCTGCTCAGGCTGGGCTCAAACTTGTCACCCTCCTGCCTCGGCCTCCCAGCACGCCTCCCGTGCATGGTCTGCATTTTTAAAATGGGAATCGCTTTGGTGAGGCATAAGACCAGGGAAACACTTAGATGTTCTCTCTGCCACCCAAAGGCCTGCTGGGCCCTGGGCCGTGCAGCCCCTTGTCCCCCAGCCCTGGTCTCTGATGTGCTGCCTGGGTGATGATAACAAGCTTCGGCAGACACCAGCCGGCCTCACATCTGTATGCAGCGCAGCGCGGCCCCTCTGAAGTGCCAGCTGCTTCTCTTGTCTTCCTCCTGCTGCCACCGTTCGATTTCTCTGTTTTTATTTTTTGCCAAACGAGCTCCTCCAGTTTCCAGGACCACAGCCTCGACCACTTCCAGGACACTGTGCAGCCTTAGAGGGAATTAGACCTGGGGGCAGGAGGGGGCTCCCGAGAGCTGGGCAGGGAGGGGCCCGAAGGCAGGTGGGTCTCACCCACCCCGCCCGCAGCCGCAGCCGCCAGGGCCAGGACAGCGCCAGGGCCAGGGCTGCCCGCCAGGCACAGGTCTACCCGGAGGCACCTTTCGGAGCCGCCCAGCTGACAGGGAGGCGGCCTGTGCCCCTTCACAACGGAGATGATAAGGTATTTTCTCAGTAACCACATCGGTGTGATTCCGTAATTACCCAGCTACGCGGATTTGCCACGAAACTGAATAGTTAAAAGCAAAGAGTAATTGCCTGATAGCCATACTCTGTAATTTAGTATAATCTAATCATGGACAAAGCCCAAAAGAAAACATTCTGAAAGCATTACATTTTTCTTCATACACAATTTGGTATTGACATCGGCTAAGGCGTTCCACACTTCGAAAGGAACCATTATCCACTGATTTCAAAGAGCTAGTGGGGCCCGGAGTGAGCATTTCCTTTAATTTCCAGTAGATTATGAAAAGCAGGTGGCAGGGCCCCCCCAACCCCTGCCCCTGCCCCCACTCCCACTAAACCCTGCTCTGGCATTTCCCTGTGACCCTGTTGGTCCCCTCTCTTAATCTGCTCCTGGGCCTGGAGAGAGGTGAAGGGTGACCTCCTCTGACACAGGCTCCAGAGTGAGCGTCACTGCTGCAGGTTCAAAGGAAGCCCATTAGCTGGGCACAGTGGAGAGCATCTGGGGAGGCTGAGGCAGGAGGACTGCAAGTGTGAGCCCAGCGCGGGCAACCTAGCAAAACTCTGTTCCAAAAATTTAACAATAACAATGACTAAAAAAGAACATTTAAAGTGCTGGGGATGTAGCCCGGTGTGAAGGCCCTGGATTCAATCTCCGATATCACTTAAAAATCAGAAGAGGAAGGAAAAAGGAAAAGAAAGCCCAGAATAGCTGAAGGCCTCTGAAAGGTGGACCCAGTACGAGTTCCCAGGTTCTCGCTCCTATCTGGAAGCGGATAAATATGCACAGGGCTTTCAGCAGAAGGAGAAAGAGGACGTACCCACTGACGGACTCAGGGCATTATTATAAGGCTCTGCTGAGGCAGGCAGGGCCAGCAAGAAGCCCGGCATGGAGAGCCGGGGCAGGGCGGCCTGCAGCCGCGGCCCGCTGAGTGCGTGGATGCGGTTACTAAGTAGACGGAGACCCAGCAGCTTGTGTTGCTCTTCTGCCTTTAATAAATCAGAAAGCCTGGTCAGGAAGCCTGACCCAGCCGCTTGCCTTAAAACACACCAGTGCAGAGTGATAAGAAAGGAGAGCACCCGCCCCGTGGCCTGCAGTGTCCCCCTTTGTGCAAAGCACTCCCGCTCCACCCCGACTCCCCTTCACCCTCCCCAACAGGCCCCAAGGGGCAGCCACTCTGAAGACCTAGCAGACTTCCAGGCCCCAGGAGGGCTGGAGAGGGCTCTAAATGAGGGGTGGCTCAGAAGACCTGCAGGCCAAGCCCTGCCCAAGCGGGCGGTGTGAAAGCGACACTCCCAGCTGCACTAAACCCAGTGAAAGGGCTGTGGGGACAGAGGCTGGGCTAGATGGGAGAGGAACCGGTACAGATCCCAAGTCAGGCATGGTATCGCGTGCGGTGGGAGGCTGAGGCAGGAGGGTCACAAGTTTGAGAACAGCCTGGACAACTTAGTGACTTAGCAAGACCCTGTCTCAGAAAAAAACAGAGCTGGGAATGTAGCTCAGTGTGAAAGCCCGGGGTTCCACCCCAGTGCTGCAAAGAAAATGAAATTCCAAGAAATGTCAGGGCTGGAGCTTCTAGCTCAGGAGGGAGCAGGAAATCCAAGACCTCCAGGCAGAGAGCTTTGATTTGTGAGGTTTTTTCTGAAGGCAGGTGCTTTAGATCCAGGGGGCTGGGCCACGGGCTGCCAGAGGCCACCTCAGAGGCTGACGGGATGCCTAAAGGTCACCACTACTTCTGGGTCCTGGGCAAAAGGAAGTCAGGTTGGGGAAAGGCAGTGGGCTGTTTGCCCCACATGGACACAAGAGTGGCAGCAGTGTCCCTGGACACTAGGGAGGGCGACAGGACCTCTGCTGAGCTCCATGTTGGGGGTAGCTCTCCTCGGTGCATGTGCTGAAAGCTTCCTGAGAGCCATGGAGATGAAAGAGACTGTAGCTGTGCAATGCTGCACGCTCGCTCTGTTTAAGCATCGGTTTTGGGCCTCCTTAGAGCACTCAGGGCCATACTGACACCAAAAGGCTCGTTCCTTCTCTATTGAACTGCACAGCTGCAAGGAGTTGCACAAATGCTACCAACTCATTTGTCATGCAAACAGTGCTTCGGGAAGAAATAAAATACTATTATGTGGTGTATGTGTTAGGCAATCACTACATCAAATCCGTGGCATTCTGTGCAAACACAGGCAGAGGAAAGGAAAACAACACTTGGTGAGAGAAATCACACTACAAGGGAGCAGCCAAGTCGGGGCCAGGGAGGCTGAGGCTGTAATTTTCCCAGCGTCGAGGCCGGGTGTGGAGGAAGTGGCAGGCGGGAGGTGCCCCATCAGAGGAGCAGGACCCAGGACCTGAAGAGGCAGATGGGGGCGCGGCAGGACTGCCCTAAAGACACAGGCCAGAGGGGGTCAGATGACAGGAGGGCGAGTCTCTGAGACTGTGGCGGATGTGGACGGAATAGAAAGACTGCCGGGGTGCGGGGGAAGAGCTGTTTCCATTGCTGCCCCTCCCATCTCCTCCCTCAGGGCTTCCCGCTAAGCGCCTTCCATAACCAAATCACCTGCCCGGTGGGACGCTCCACGCAGCCACGGCTGCCAGGATTTGGATGAAGGATAAACAGGAACGCGCGTGTGCCAGGCACCATCCCCAGCACCTTGCACAAATTACCTCTTCTAATCCTCACAGCTACGGGCAAATAGGCTAAATATGCTAATCGGAGAGGATCACACGTCTGGGAGTTGAAGTCAGGACTAGAAATCAAACTGGCTCCAGAGCCCACACATCCACACCGCAGCGGCGGCAGCAGGACTGTGGGTCTCTGGGGTTCCCGCCCCAGCCCAAATGTGGACAGGGCTCCAGCACGCCTGGGTCTCCTCCACCACCCAAGTAAACCCGATCACGCATGGGTCCCCACGCAGAGTGGCACACAATTCAGTCTCCCAACTCTTGGAGGCGGCTGTCTCTAACCATTAAGCAATTCATCCATTAAATCGACACGACTTTAAGGAATGCCCCCACACACTACAGACAGCGCTTGGGTTGGAGGATTCAGGGATAAACACCGCCAGGCCTCCCATATCAGAAGGGAGAGGGGCGGAGCAAGAGCAGAAAACAAAACAAAAAAAACCTCCGCCCTCCCCCAAAAAACCAATTGGACCTTCCCCATATGGCGACTCTCAACGCCGAGTCAGACCTCCTCACCATGGCCGACCCGTCGGTCGGCCGACCTCCCCAACATGGCTCCCACCGACCTTCTCATCATGGCGCGCGGCCCCGCCCGCCTTGCCGCGGTCGCTGGCGGGAGCAGTTCCGGGTGCGCTGTACGAGGGGGGCGGCGTCCTGGCCATGGCCGGCCTGTCGGACCTGGAGTTGCGGCGGGAGCTGCAGGCCCTGGGCTTCCAGCCAGGACCCATCACCGACACCACTCGGGACGTCTACCGCAACAAGCTGCGCCGCCTGCGGGGCGAGGCCCGGCTGCGCGACGACGAGCGGCTACGGGAGGAGGCCAGGTCGCGGGCCCCGGAGCGGCTGCGCGAGGAGGCCCGGCTGCGCGAGGAGGCACCACTGCGCGCCAGGCCGGCCGCGGCCTCCCTGCGGGCGGAGCCCCGGCTGTCCCCGCCGTCTCCGGGCGCGGCCCACACTACCGCGGGCGGCTACGGCGACTGCGGAGCGCCAGTGCCGGCCTGGGCCGGGAGCCGCGGCCTCCCCTATGCCGCCCGCCCCACGTCTCTCCGGCGCCGCGCCTCGTTCCGGGGCAGCTCGGAGGAGGACGAGGATGCGCGGCCGCCCGCCAGGCCCGTCCTGGGCCTGACCCGCCGCTGGTGGGCCTCGACCCCAGCCCTGGCGCGGCCTTCGCCCGGGCTCAGTCCCGATCTGCGGCCGGGCCTGCGAACCCCTCGAGCGGGCTCTGCAGGAGTGGCGCGGGCCCGGCCGGAGGCGGGGCGGCGGCTGGAGCGCTGCCTGTCCCGGCTGCTGCTCTGGGCCAGCTTGGGGCTGCTGCTCGTCTTCCTGGGCATCCTCTGGGTGAAGATGGGCAAGCCCTCGGCGCCACAGGAGGCGGAGGACAACAGTACGTCCCGGACCCGCGCAGGGGAGGGCTCGGGAGTCACAGGACCAGGGGACGGCCACCTGGTTCCCCAGCGCCGACCACTGCCTAGTCCCCTCACCTCCAGACCTTCACCTTCCTCCTCCCCAGCATCTGCAATGATTTCTGCCTTCGCTTCCTCCTGTCTGTTCTGGCCAGCCCTGTCCAACACCTCCCTTTCAGCCACCTGCTGGGAGCAGGTGGAATTCTACCACGACCTCTTTTTCCTTCTGGAGAGAAAGCCACACCTCCCTAACAGACAGTCCCAGCCCTGGTTGATTCTTTCTTGTCCTGATCCCTTGTGCACACTTTAGTGGCCTCCTGAAGGCACCCCACATTTCACTGGTCTACACAGGATCTGGTTGGGGTCCCAGCTTTGTAGCATCAAAAAGACCACTTATAGGTGCCACCGGGCCTTCATATGGCAGACTGTGGTGGAAGAACCTTTGAGGGCTTGAACCGATCCTGAGGGGAGGCTTTATCTGCATGCGGCACCTGCACGGGTTGTGTCACAGAGGGTTGGATTCAGGGCTCCTCCCTGCCATCCGCTTGAAGTATTAGATGCCCCAGTGAGAGGTGTGCAGGATACCACTGTTGCCTGCATAGTGCAGATGGGTGTGTTTCCCAAAAGAGAAAGTTGCCTGTCTGTTAACTGTGGCTCTGTTTGAACAGGAAGAGTCACAAAGACCGTTTCATTTAAAATTGCATAAAGACACCACTCCGCTTCACTTTGCAAAGCGTGAATGTGATTAGTTCTGTTCCCAGCCAGCACCACTTTCCTGCCTGAAGTGAGCGGCTGAAGTGCAGGGGAAGCAGAATTGCACCTTAGCAAGGGTGGTACATGGACGTTTGGGTCTTTGCTTGTCAGTGTGGTCACAGACTTATACAGACACCCAACTGGTTTCTCTGCTGGGAGAGAGCAGTTTGTGAACTGTTTGATCCACCGGCTAGAGAAACTAATCGGACCTGAGTGTCACCGTCCTGCCCTGGTACTGTAACCAAGCTACTGAGGGCACAGTGTCACGTATGTGCTCACTGCTAAGATGCTAGAAGAGGACAGTTTGGGAGGCGTGCACTGAGATGGACCCCGAGTTATGCTTTTGTGATGGTCTTAATCTCTGCTTAACATAGCATTGTTTATCACTCAGAAAACTGTCACATATGTTACCTGAACAGAAGTTAAGCAAGCACATTGCAGCCCATTTTCCAGATGAGAATACACAAGTTCCGAGTACTTGAGTTGCCCAGGAACCTGTAGCTATTCATTTTCAGCTGGGACGAGGACCTAGCTTGCCAAAGTCTTGACCCACAGTTGGGAAACCCCTGCATTTTGCAATCTGCAATCAAACGACCTCTTTCCAATCCCCGCCCTGTGTTAGTAATGCGTTGCTTCTGGCTTTTGAGTGATCTCTTCTTCAACCCACACCTGTTAACCTCTCTTTTTTTTCTTGGTCTCAGTGAAATTACTGCCCGTGGACTGTGAAAGAAAAACAGATGAGGTGAGTCTCAATTTTTCTTGTTTTTGTTACTGTTCCTGAGAACGTTTGCCTGCGTCAGGATGTAACTTCCCAGAAAAAGACCCTATTGAGTTCCTTCTCGGGGAGGACTTTCCCGTAAGGGACCAGAATCACATCGTGCTCTGGTCGTTTGTATCAGGCTCGATTGTGGCAGTGGAGGAGCACTTCAAATACAGAGACTGAGCTCCCAGCATCCAGCCCTGGGCTGTCAGGGAAGCTCTCAGGTCAGCCTTAGTGTCAGGGACTTTGATCTGCTGCCTGAGTTTCTGGGGAGGAGACCGTTTCTGTGCATCGCCAGGAGGCGGGGTCCTCAGTTCCACGACCTGCTCTGTGGCGTACACCAGCAGCTCCAAAAACACTGTTCTGATTTGACACAGCAGAGGGGAATTGGTTTAAAATACATCATGGGCAGAAGTAGCCCTCTTCTCCGTTGCTTACTGTGGATTTGTAATGTTCCCTACAAATAACATTTGGACAAGGCGAGCAGCCCCATCCAGTTATGAATCATGCAGGCCTGTTAGTGAGGAGCTGGGATGCTAGTACCAGCAATAGACTAGGGGAGATAGGAGGCAATAAATTTTCAGGTCATAAATCGTAGCAGGAGGAGTCATGTGCTGCCGGAGGACACAGCTTAGTAGTCTAATTATTAAGTGTGTGATGCCAGGCCGCTGCAGCCCAGGGGCTGAGAAATGACGCACGGTCCCAGGGACGCCCCACATCCATGGACTGTGTCAGCCTCGTTAACGAAAGGCAGCCTGCTACAGATTGCCACTTATTTTTCCTGGGCTTCTGGTGTGTCGTGTTTGGGGTGTTTGATCACACTGGTTTATTGTACTCATTCACCGAGTATCTGTGCTTCCCAGTGGTTTTGCAAAAACAGATTCGTCAGTTGAATCTGCCTTCTGTCATAAAAACCGCAGCTCATGATTAGAGCAAATGGCCCAGAATGTAGGCGGCCTGGGGGTGGGGGGGACTCAAGTGTCGCCAACTAAAAAGCAGAAGAAATAACTTTAGTAAGACTCCGCTAGTGATGTTGGCTGCAGTTCCCCTTAATTCGGAAGGGATCCCCCAGTTTCTGTTTCCTGGTCCTAAACATCAGGCCCAAAGTCAGTGACGTGTCTGCTGCCCCGGGCCCTTCTCAGAGCTCTTTGAGCTCAGAGCTGGCCACCCTCAGGGCCACCTAGCAAGCACTGATGGCCCTCTGGGTCCCTGCCACACATGTCCTCAGTGCCCTGCGAGCTGGGCCTAGTGATTGCTTCTTTGTAAATAACGCTTGCAGCCTGTATCTGACCGTGGGCAGCAGGGCCTGGCCACATCCTCCCTGACTTCCCGGGGTACCCTGGGCCTTCAGGGACAGTGGCCCTGGGCAAAGGCAGGTTGGAATGTCCTTTTCGACTCCTCTGCAGCTACCAAGTCCATGGTGCAAGGCTCCAGGCCCACCTGGAACTGAGGCAGGCATCTGAGCGTCCGCCGGGCGACCTTTCCCTCTGGGCCACTGAAGACTGTGACGCTTTATGTTTCTTGTGCTGCTGAGGACTTGCTGACAAGCAGGAGTGGGTGTGCTGTACTCCACATAGTCCCTACCCAGGAGGCCCCCAGGTTCCCTTAAACTGACAAGGTGGCCCAGCAGCGATGGCTCCTCCCACTGTGTCATTGGCCTCTAACCAGCCTTTAATCCAAGGAGACAGGGCAGGGGCCCAGAGCCACTGGGAATCCGTCCCTGCGGGGCTGCATCTGCGTAGGGCCTGGGGACTTAGCCCACTTTTGCCGCCCTCCCCAGGCTGGCGCTTTGCAGAACCAGTCTCTTGTTTTTTTGAACCATGAGCTGCCCCTTGTGGTCAGGGTGCACCCGACACCTGGGCCCCAGAGGCAGAAAGGCACGGCTGACCCCTCTGCCTGCCCGCCCTTGCCTTTCAGTTCTGCCAGGCCAAGCAGAAGGCGGCCCTGCTGGAGGTGCTGCACGAGCTCTACAACTTCCTGGCCATCCAAGCTGGTGAGTTGGCCCGAGGGATGCAGCCCTGCCCGTGCTTGTGCCTGTCCCCACCTCCCCACTCGCACATCTTTTTAAGGCCTTGTGTTGTGTAACCGTGTGGGTCTTCAGGGCTGCAGGGTACACGGGCCTTTCGGCCACTGTGCCCTCTCAGACACCTGCTTCAGGGGCTTGTGTTTGCGTTGGGAGGGGGGCTGGGGCTTCCCAGGGCCTGTGCCTTCTACCCTGGTGGTCAGCCAGACCAGGGCCAAGCCCTCTTGCCCATGTAGGAAGCAGGTGATGGCCCTGGTGTCACATCTGGTCCTGATCACACCATCTGGCTGCAAAACCCTGGTTCTCCCAGAACCTGTCCCTGTGTGACTCAGTGGTTTTGGGTCTGTCTTCTATGCAGTGCTGCCCCCTGGGAGAAGTGCTCTCAGCACCCCCAAAGTGCCCTCTGGAAATGCATTCAACAGGTCCCCTGCTCTGTTTGGTGTGGGTCAGACCTGGGGGTTCTGAGAAGGCACTATGCTCTCCTGCCCCCCACACACCTGTACCTGCAGGTGACAGCTCAAATGTGCATCCAGGGCTTGGCCTCAGGCTCTTGTCGGCACAAGAAGCAGACGGAGCAGTTTGGTCTCAGGAGTAGCAGGAGGCTGCTGTCACCCGAAGGTCAGGGGATGCCCCACGCTTCCACTGGGCAGCAGAGGTCAGGTGGACTTGTACTGGGGCCTATGTCCTGTGGCCCAGTGTCAGGGGTGTCCACAGTGACGCTGGGGACCAGAGGTGACTAGAGAGCCTCAGAGGCAAAAGGAGCTGGGTCTTCTGCTCACGTCACTGTCATTCTGGGCATCCTGCTCCAGACTTCATTGTGGTCCGAGGACCTGTAGCACCAGCATTGCCTGAAACTGACCAGAAATGCGAAGTTCGCTCCAAGTCTTCTTCTCCCGCCCCAAGTCAGACCCCATTGGAACAGAACCCCTGGGAGCCCCGTGCTACACTGGGCCCAGGTGGCCGTTTCACCTCCATCCTGCCCTCTGTGCAGTCCTGGTGTACTCCTGGCATCAGCTGCCCTCTGACCAGCCTGCCAGGGCAGAGGTCTCAGCGGGACAGGGAAGAGGGAAGTGTGACCTCCTGGCCTGGGAGGGGAGTGTGCTGTGTCCCGCAGTCCAGGTGGGGCTACTCGTGCCCATGTGCAGGAAGAAGACAGGCAGAGACAGGACGCAGCAGATCCACAGGGAGATCCACAGGACTGGGGAGGTGCAGGTTGGGCGTAGTGGTCAGCCGTGGGCGCCAGGCCCACAGACCTTGGTCCGGCAGACAATGGGAGCAGGGAGGCTCTGGGCAGGGGAGGGACGCACCAGGAGCAGGGCACCAGGAAGGGGCCGCAGTGTCATTTACTCAGGATCCTTTCAGAGCTTTCTAACAAAACGAGTGGCTGGGAAAGAGGACAGGAGGAAACCAGTGAGGAGGCCATGAGGCCTGGGGCCGGGAGGCTGGCAGAAGGCACCTTGGCCTCGGGACACACAGGGTCAGCGTCAGCCAGAGCGGGAAGACAAGGCTGTGCTGGGACTGCAGGTTCAGGCTGCAGCTCACTGTGAAGGGGAAACAGCATGGCGTCACCTCAGCCTGCCAGCCCCCAGCCGGGTGCCGGAGTCCCAGCGCTGCCAAGGAGGGCCGGTGGCACAGGGAGCATGAGGGACCGACCAGGGGGCCACTGCCCCGCAGGACACAGTGCCCGACTGCAGACCACAGCCATTGGCAGAGCCAGAGGGCTGGGTGGGACCCGGCGGAAGGCAGCCTGCCAGGGTACTCGGGAGCTGCCAGGCGACCCCCACCCTTCTCCACGGGCTGTCTTGGGCCTCTCTGCCCGGGACCGCTCCTAACAGCGGGCTCGGCATCTGGGCTGCCGGCCTGCAGCGTGGCCAGCGCCCCTGTGGTGTCGCAACCTCCCCGCCTGTCCTCGTTCCCGGCCGTGTTTATTTATAGTGCCTTTCGGGTGCCTTCCCAGCCGATCTGTCTCATCCTTTTAGGGATCAATTGCAAACAGACCTTGGTATTGGGCAGCTTTTTAGTCATCTCATGCAAATTGCCACACTGCTTTGCAGGTCAGGTTTTAATGATCTGGAATCGATCCAAGCTAAGTGGCTTTTGATCCTGCTGCTGAGTGAAGATGCCCCACGGAAGGCTCGAGCCCGGCCACGCGCGCCCGATCAGAGCCGATGGCTTGATTCCTGCCGCAGTTTCGGCCCCTTTTGGAGAGGTTCTATTCTTCAGCTCTTCTCTGAATATGGCTCTTTTCTCCTAGGTAATTTTGAGTGTGGAAATCCAGAGAAGCTGAAAAGCAAGTGCATTCCCGTTCTGGAAGCCCAGGAATACCTGGCTGTGAGTAGGCTGCCGGCCCTGCTTCTGAGCGCGGGGGCTTTGTTACTGATCCTACCAGCCCTGCGGGTTTTCCCTTTCTGCCGCATGTTTGCTCTGTGGCTTTTGGAGCCTCTCTTTTTCTTAGCTTAGTGGGGCGTTAGGCTGCAGCGGTGGGCACCGTGCCCTGGAGCTGGCTGCTCCTGCCTGCCCTGCTGCCTGTCACAGCCAAACCGCCCTCCTTTGTTCCTTTCTTTCCGCTCTCCTTGTGTATGTGCCGTATGAGAAGGGAAACCAGCGCCTTTGTGCCGAACCTTAACACCCCACCCCATTTATTTTCATGTTTTTGAGGCAGGATCTCACTAAGTCACTAGGTCGCCCAGGCTGAGCTTGCCCTGGAGACCCTCCTGCCTCAGCCGGTCCTGCTTGGATTCCAGGCATGCACCTCCATGTCTGGCTCCGGCTCCCCTCCCACCCCCTGCTTCAGTGTTTTAGGGTGCACGTGGAACCTGCCCGCTGTCTTTCTCATGATTCCATTCAGACCACTCGGGGTCTGTGGACGTTTCCCATGGCTTCTGGATGGTGGGTGATGGAACTCAGGGCCAGCAGGGATCTCCAGGGCTGTCTAGTTGCATCTGCATTGTACGGACGAGGAGACTGAGGCTGGAGAGGGTTAGGGACTTGCAGGAGGACACACAGTTGGAGGTGGTCACCCGTCCTGCCCAGGGTGGGCTCTGGCCTACAGTTCCAGCCCCTGGGGAGCTCTTACCGCCCGCCTCATTCCTGCACTGCCTCCTAGGGCAGAGCCCCTTCCTGCCAATCATGGCTGAGATTTCCTCCCCGCCAGTTTGCATGCGTCTAGCAGAACGGGGCCCCAGGAGAGGCCTCCCAAATCCAGCCTGAGCCGAGGTTCCAGCTGCTCCAGCTGCCCAGCTCAGGGGCAGAACTGACCCCCTTCCCCCAACAGAATGTGACCAGCAGCTCTGCCTCCAAGTTCGAAGCCGCGCTGACCTGGATACTGAGCAGCAACAAAGACGTGGGGATCTGGTGAGTGCGGTGGATGGCAGCGAGGCCAGGCGGCCCTGCCTCCCCCCATGCTGCGCTCCTGCACCCCAAGGCCAGAGCCGAAAGGGCGGGTGGTTCAGGCCGCAGAGTTGGGGGGTTCAGGAGACACCTGATGCAGGTGTTAGGGTACTGGCCCGGCACCCCGGCTTGGCCTGCTCCAGGTCCCCATCCACCCTCCTCGTTCTCCTCCCCATGGGTGCACGTCCCTGTATGTAGATGAGACAACTGCGTGTTGCTTTTCCTGTGTGGAAATTGCTTGGGAAATGCTGGCCAAGCAGTTTCCGCCTCCTCTTATCACGTGTCGTGGGTGAACACATAGCAGAGACAGCAGGAGGCTGAAAGGCTCTGGCTCCGCTCAGGCAGGCAGGCGTCCTCACCTGGCCCTGCCGCCCTCAGGGTTTGTCAGGGTCTCCAAGCTGGGCTCCAGCTCCTACATGAAGGGCTCTCCAGGGTTTGGTTCCTCTCTGCTCTAATCCACCCAAATTACTAATTCCATCAGATGCATCCCAAAGCCGGCTAACCGGATGCGCAGTGTGATTACAACTCCCGCTGGCAGAGCAGCTGCCCCCTGGGCGGGTTCCTCCTCCAGGGCGTTCCCAGCGTGCCGAGGGGCTGCTCACTAGGGACAGGGGCTCTCGACTTTGCACACTGGGGAGGGCGCCGGCTGCTTGTGGCCACTGTGGGAAACACGGGGCACAGGAGGTCAGGAGGCTTCACTTCCCAGCCACCACAGACCGAGACAGGGCGTGCGGCCCTGGAGGAAGGTTCAGGTGGCCCTGTCCCCGAAAGTCCTGGTGCCTCTTGACGCCCTGCACTCTTTACACTTAAACAGTTTCCGTGGCCGCCCAATCACGGAGCAGAAGCACAGCCCCCGATTCTGTCCATCTCCCCGTGCAGTCGCAGAGCCAGCGATTCAGTAAACATTTCCATTTCTCTACGCTGGGAGGTGGGAATCCAATTTACAGTCTAATCTCCTGCACGCTGAGAGAGGCTGTCAGAGATGTGGCAGAGGAGACGTCACTTTACCGGCAGGGGCCCGAGTGCGCTGCCGTTTTTAAAACCTTATTCTTTCTAAGTAGCCAGCGGGGGAAATCTATGGAAAGAGCACAGGCAGGGTAGCAGGGCCAGTCTATGAGCACCTCCATCGTGCTGGGGGCAGAGGGGCTCAGGCCTGGGCTCCTCGGAGCTTTGGGCGCCCTGAGAGCCCTGTGCTGTTGCAGGTTGAAAGGGGCGGACCCATCCGAGTTGGTGACCTCCGTGGACAAGGTGGTCTGCCTGGAGTCCGCGCGCCCCCGCATGGGCGTGGGTTGCCGGCTGAGCCGCGCACTGCTCACTGCTGTCACCCATGTGCTCATCTTCTTCTGGTGTAAGTGCCACCCCCACCCGGCCCCCACCCAGGGGTCCCCCACCTCTATAACTCGGGGCTGTGTTATAAAATAGGAGATGAACAAGCCACCCTGTGCCCCGCACGGTCTCTGCCTCGGGAGCTTGGCTTCAGCAGGAACGTGGGGATAACTTGAGAGCCCTTGATGCAGCCAGGGACATTAGTGTCCCCAAGCCGGATCTGGACGGTGCAGGGCCTGGGTGTTGCTGCTCCAGCAGGAGGCACAGCAGGGGCTTGGCCTGATTTGATTCCCCGAGATGTAAGCATCTCCCAGGGAGCCACAGATACCTGACAAGGCAGGGAGGTGGGGTGCTGGGCCGGAGGGTGTCTGGAGCCTTTGAGCAGAAGTCTCAGGCGCCGGGGAAGGCCAGAGGCTGGCCAGCCGGGCACCCCACCCCCTCAGCAGGCCCTGGGACACAAAGGCCCGGCCTGGGTATATGCATGAAACTGCCCAGGCTCAGAGGAGGAGATGAAAGCTGCCCGGGGTGGGGGTGGGGGGACAGGTCTGTACGGCTGGGGACACCTCTGGTAACAGTGGTAGGAGGACCCTGGTCACTTCATAGCCCGTCCTCCCTCCTGTTCCATGTCCTGGTTTTCTTGCACGCTCGCCCTGACCCTGACACATAGTAGGTGCTCAGGATGTGTGCGGCAGGTCCCTCGGCCTCCAGCATGGCATCCCACTCGCAGGGACACTGGTCCAGGGCCCCAGCAGCCGCTGCAGACACCAGGGACTGACAGCATCTTGTCCCTTGCAGGCCTGGCCTTCCTGTGGGGACTCCTGATCCTCCTGAAGTACCGATGGCGGAAGCTAGAGGAGGAAGAGCAGGCTATGTACGAGATGGTGAAGAAGATCATAGGTATGTGGGCCCCGGGCCCCGGGCCGCCTGTGCTCGCAGCAGCCTGCCCTGAACCGTGCTTCCCCTATCCTCTGCCCGGCAGACGTGGTCCAGGACCACTACGTGGACTGGGAGCAGGACATGGAGCGCTACCCGTATGTGGGCATCCTGCATGTGCGTGACTCCCTCATCCCTCCGCAGAGCCGGTGAGTACCCTGCCCAGCAGCTGGCTCTGTGCAACAGGGCCAAGGGATGGGTTGGGAGCCGCAGAGGCCTGGGGGTGGATGGCCAGCTCTCTGTCCTCTCCTGCGTGATTCTCACTTTGGCAGGCCCAAGGGGGCTGTCGGCAGGCCAGTCCCTTGTGGCCACAGGGCATGGCCAGCAGCACAGGGAGGAGAGCTGGGCTTCCTCTCACTCATGTAAGCAAGAGAAAGCCTCCCCAGGAGCTCGGCGGGGACACACTCCCAGGGCCTGGTCAGCCAGAACCCGTCCTTTGTCTGTCTGTGAATCCATTTCCAGTGAAGGGGGAGGGAGGCTTTCAGACTTTTGTAGCTGACCCATCAGAAAACTACCAGCCCCGTGATTCAGTTCCTGTGCGCGCGCCCACACCAGCCACTGCCAGTCAGCTTCCAGGGCACATGGCCGCATGGCGAGAGATGTTAGGCCCGGGCGGGTTGGGTGCGGCAGCTGGCATGGCCCTTCGAGGTGTCACCTCCAGTCTCGGTCTGCATATGGTCATCTGCTGGCCGCCTGGTTTCACCCCAAGCTCCACACACAGCTCACTTTGCTTCACCATGGCTGGCAGAGACGGGAACAGCAAGGGGCCCACTTCACAAGAAGGAAACTGAGGAAAAGAACCCCAAGTCCCTTGGGGCCAGGGGCATTTCCGTGAGGTGCCACACCAGGTCTGTGGGCCTCACTCCTTCATGTGCTGCCAGGAGGGCCCCGAGGAGCAGAGGGCCTGCCGTAGACAGGAAGCTGCTCGGTGGGAAGCCCACTCGGGCCAGGCAGGCAGCAGAGCCGGCAGACTGCAGGGCAGGCCCCTGGGGGTGCCCAGGGCCCCCGTCACCCCGACTGGCTGTGATCCTGGCGCGTGAGAGCCGGAAGGCCCGGACGCTGTGGGGGGGACCCGGTTTATTTCCTCTTCCTACGGGCAGCTGACAGCAGGGTGACATCAGCAGAGATCTAAGGGGTCTGAGTAGAGAGAGATTTTTCGGTGGAGGGCATGCTGTAAAGAACGCAGATGCAGTGCTGAAGTTTAAAATTGCAGAGGCAGGCCGCGCAGGTGTGATGGCACCAGCACCTAGCAGGTCCTCGCCTGCTCCTGGCCGTCTTCGGTGCCCAGCCTTACGCTCGGCTCGCAGGGCAGCCCGCGGCTCTCAGGCCAGTCCCGAGCTCCGCTGTGTGCCCCACCCGTGCCTGTGATGGAGGAGCTATGCTGGGGGCAGCAGCCCTGTCCTGCTGGGGCTTCTGTTCTAGAGAGGGAGCCACATGTCGCTGGGCTGTGACAGTCCTAAGGGAGAAGGGCACAGGGTGCCGAGGAGGTGGCCTCAGAGGTCGATTTGTGCCTGGCACCCGAGCGGAGCTTGCAGCAGTTCTCAGTCCTTAACCAAGGGCACGAACGTCAGGGGGTGGTATGCCTGCTGCTGGGCCCCCGAAGAACGCCCCACGCCAGTGCAGGTGTGAGGGCTGCTGCCTGCCACCCGCTCTGCCCGAGGGATGGGAGCTGACCCGCACCCAGGGCTCCCCCACCCCACCAGGCCAGGCTCCCGGCATGGAGGGACTCACTCATGTCCACCCAGGAGTCAGTCAAGGGCCCGCTGTGAGGCAGAGCCCCGTGAGGAGCCCAGAGTGACAGCCACAGCTGGCAGGTGCTATTCGCTGTGCATCACCTGCTGACGGGCCGAGCCCCTGCCCCCGCCTCCTGTAAACCGAGTCCTGGTCCCCAGGGAGGCGTGGCCAGACCCCTACAGCCCCAGGCAGGAAGTCCCGTGCCCCCAAACTGCGATCTCCTCCCAGTAGCTGACGCCCTCACATTCACAGGGCCCTCTCTGCCCTTGTCTGAACGGTGGGGTCCGCCTGGAGCCTCGCCCACTCGGAAAGGGAGAGAGGTGCAGGGCTCTCTATTGGACTACCTGTTCCCCGCGGCCCCACTTGCTAAGCCTGGGTTTCTGGTCGGATGCTTCGCTCATCCGGACCCGCGAGGCGCTGTCCGCTGGACCCGCAGCGCGTAGCTGTTCTGTAATTGGCCCACAGGAGGCGGTTGGCAGCGCAGGGGTTCCCCTGGCAGAGCAGGGGCCCAGCGGATCAGAGGCCCAGCGCACCCCCACATTCGGCCCCCAGCTCCCCCCCCCCGGCCTGTGGAAGGCTTCGGAGCCAAGGCCGAGGACCCTTTCCCTAGCTCTGGAAGCCGCGGTGCTCCGAAGCTGTCGGTTCGCACCCCGCAGCTCCCCCTCGGGAGCGCCTGCACCCCCTCTGCCGAGCCCCGCTCTTGTTGCAGGAGGCGCATGAAGCGGGTGTGGGACCGCGCCGTGGAGTTCTTGGCCTCCAATGAGTCCCGGATCCAGACGGAGTCGCACCGCGTGGCCGGGGAGGACATGCTGGTGTGGCGATGGACTAAGCCCTCCTCCTTCTCGGACTCGGAGCGGTAGTTCCACAGGGCCGGGCCCGACCGCGGTGCTGCATTCACATTTGCCTTGACTGCGCCCCCTGCCGGCCGCGGAGGGGAGCCGCTGCCCCGAGGGTGGGAAGCCGGTGCAGCCTGTGCCCTGCGCCGCGTGGCTGGCGGAGGAGGGCAGAAGGGTTTGCCCTCCGCGGACGGAGAGACGCAGGGCAGTAGCTGCGGGGACGGCCCGGCCGCCAGCGGGCGGCAGTCGCCCAGCCTGGGAGGTGGGGCAGGGGCGCGGGTTGGGGCAGCAGGGACGGGAGTGGCTTGGTCCATGTGCCTTCGGGGTTATCCGGGAGCTCTAGCGTAGGGGGGTAAGCCTGAGCTCGGCGGGGCGTGCGCGGTCCTCAGGCGGACGAGGCTAGGAGTCGGAGGGCCCGGGCGCCATGCGCCACCGGCCAGACCTGCTGCCGGGCACTGGTCGGAGGAGGACGAGGACGCAGCTTCCAGGGCGCGGGGCTGTCCAGAGCGGAGCCACCGGGCTTTACTGTGCCCTCCTCGCCCACGGAGCGGGGCGGTGGCCGCACACTGCCCCCTGCCGACTGCTGGGAGCGCTGCGCCCCGGCCTCCGGCAGCGCGGAAGACAGAAGATTCCCGACCTCTGGCTCTGGGCTCCTCGGTGTGTGTGTCTACCTAATAAAACCATCACCCCGTGGAGCAGTACTCTGGTTTTCTGTGTGTCCGGATGCTCGGCGGGGCCGGACCCGGACACCCGCCCTGTGCTCATCACCAGGCCCAGCCAGGGTGCGACACCATGACGGGCTCCTGATAGGGTGGAAACGAGAAATAAACTATTTATTAAAAAATGGACGCATCTAATTCGTGCTGCTCACTTCCTCGGAGGCATCCCGGGGTAACCGGTCCCCCATACGGGCTGGTGGGAGTGGTCCCCGTGATAGTCGGGAGTGGGGTCCTAAGGCCTTTTCCTGCGGCTGCTCTCATGTCTGCTGTTTTGTTCCCCAGCTCCTCCTGGGGGGTGGAGACGGGCTGGCGGTACAGTGAGCTTGGACGGGCTTCCCAGCGGCAGACCATGACCTGCTTCCCTCTGGGTCCAGCCGTTAAGGCCACGTGGTCCATCTGCTGGCACAGGCTCCCCCTGGAAGCTGTGTGTATCTGAGCTTGGTGCCAGGACGCAGAAGGAGCTCCCAAAGCCGGGCACCCTGGGGGAGAGGCACTCTCTAGACTGGGCCTCCTGGGCTCTGGTGGGTCACAGCCACCTTCTGGAGCATACCCAGCCCACCTGTGGGTGCCCACTGGCACACATACCCTGCTCTGCCCACATCCTCTGGAGGCTAGGAGGGTGACAGGATTTCACTCTCCTGGACTCTCAGTGGGGACCTTGCCTCACCTGTCCTGTTTGGTGCTATTGCGCCGGAGGTGGGGGGCTCATGCAAGGCCCCACAGGGCCAGAGCAACCTGAAGGAAGAAACGTGGCCACGGCCCTGGGTGCCACAGCCAGGGGCCCAGCCTTGCCGGGAACCGTGGACACTTCTACGTGGCTCTGGGCCTATGCCAGGCGTTTCAGTGGCTCTGGGGATGGCACAGGCTGGTGGTTTCTGTGCGAGGAGGGGATGGGAGTGACCTGGGTGCTGGCTGTTTTGTGACTCTGCCCAAGGCCCTCCTGAGCGGTGCCTGGGCCATAGTCTTCTCCTCCTCCTGACAAACAGCCCGCAGGAGCCAATAAAGCAGGGCTGTGGGGCGAGGACAGAGGCCGTAGCCCACAAATCTCAGCTGTGGACGTCCATCGGCCCAGGAGACAGGAGAAAAGTAAACATGGCCATTTGTCACTCACTTATCATGAGGGCTGCAGGAGCAGCTGTTCCCCTTAATTAATGCACCATTGACTTTGAGCCTCAAAAACTCCCTTTGCTGACGCACATGTGTGGACTCGTCTCCCAAAGAGAAGGGGCGGGGGGTGGCTGCGACATCCAGCTGTTCCGGAGCCGCCCTGCCCAGGGCAGCTGGCACAGCTCCCCACCTCCATCCCTGGAGACAGCCTAGTGGCACGGAGTCTGGGGGAGGGGCCCACAATATTCCAGGGACAACTGTGGGCATGTTGCCACCCAGCACCTCCATGTGCACAGCACAGCACAGCACCCAGGCTGTGGGAGCCACGGGGCTCAGCTCCTCGGGAGTGGCTCTGCCTTTGGTGGCCAGGACTCTTAGCAAATCACTGTATCCCTGGAGCTAAGAGTGGCAAAGGAAGAAATGGCCAGTTTTGCCAGCAGGTGACAACATGGTGACCTCTGCACTGGCTGTCACCTTCCCTTCTGAGGTCACACGTGCACGCTCACCCCACACCCTCTGAGACTCAGCCCCCTCCTTCCTCCCGGACCCTGGCTTCCTCGCTGCACTGTGTCCCCACCTCTGCCCCAAAACCTCTGCTCCCCAGGGCATAGATCCGTCTGACCCTTTCTCTGCCCAGTGCCCAGGCAGTGCCTGGCACACAGTGCACATTCAGTAAATATTCAGTGAGTGAACAGAAACGCCCCTCTCAGGAGAAGAAGCAGGCAGGAGAGCTAGGGCCCGCATTCCTGTTTGTGGTCACACTTGCTCTGGTTTTATTTCCACCTTTTTAACCTGAGTGACCTGGGTGAACCCCCCCAACCTGCCAAGGCTCCCATCACATGCACCGCCTGGCAGCAGGGACCGTCCGGCGGCTGCCTCCTGTAGGGTCCAGTTCTGGGTACTCAGGAAAGCACAGCTCCACACCAGCCACAGAGAGGCCCAGGCTGGGCCTTCTGAGACACAGAGTGGGGGGGAGGGTGTCACCCAGCCCCACACCCAGTTCCCCAAGTACTGGGAGAAGCCGTGAAGTCCAGGTCACGCCCTGCCCCTGCCAGACAAGCCCAGGCCCTGGGAAGACTCGAGAGGCCTCCACCACGTGCAGCCTCGCTGCCCCTGGCGGGTGAGCCCTGGAGCAGGGTTTCTTGGGCTCTAAGAGGATGGGATGATTCTCCGTGCCCACGGTGCGGTCTGGCTTGTGGCCAAGGGCCTGCGTGAAACCCAGGGCGACCAGCCCTGCAGAGATGTGATGCCACTCCAGCTGCTTTGCAAACCACAGAGGCGCTGCCCAGCCCAAGCAGGGCTGGGCCAACTGGGCCGCACAGATGCGCAAGTGTGGCTGCAGAGGGCCTCGGGCGTGGGGCAGAGCTGAGCCGCAGGCTGTGAGGAGCGCGGCAGAGGAGGTACCACTGTGATTACAGCCCCGCTTGGAAGCTGCTTCTATTTCGGAAGGAGACAGGGGAAAGTACAGTAATTTTCTTCAATGAAAACAGGCAACAGAATTCCCTTTGCCTCATTCCCCTTGCAATTAAGCCCTTCTCTGCAAATGAAATGATTTGGTTTTCATGGGGACTAATTGGAGCGCACTGGAAGGACCGCTGAACTTTTTGATTGCAAACACCAGCAAGGAAAACAGAATCTGGTGGCAGCACCAGGCCAGCGAGGAGGCCCTGCCCAGGGAGACGGGCGCGTGGCAGGGAGTGGGCTGGTCTCTCCACGACACTGGGCTCAGACCCGGCCCACGGGTCCACACAGCGACCTTGGCAGCCTCTGACATGCTGACCACGGCGACAGGTTGAAGATGTCACTTGATCCTTTCTCTTCTTTCTGGAACCTTGAGTCTGGCCTGGTCCTGTGACCACTTTGACCAGTGGGATGTGGCCGTAAGGACACCAGATGGTCCCCACCTGAGCCCTTGAGAAGCTTTGCCGCTTCTGTTTACACTTTCTTAGGCCCTGAGCCACCACGGAAAGAGTCAGCGCCGCAGATGATAGCCCTTGTGGGGAGAGGCGGTTGGCCAGGCCCTCGGCACCTCCAGGGGTCCCTGGTGACACAGCAGATATGTGACAGAAGCTACCTGTAGCAGCTCAATCCACGCAGTTAGGCCTCCAGCCAAGCCCTGCCCAGATGATAGAAATGGAAAATAAATAGGTTGTTATATTTGTTTGTTTGATTTTTTTGGTACCAGGGATCGAACTCAGGACCTCATGCTTGCCAGGCTGTTGCTTATGCCGCTGAGCTAAATCCCCAGCCCCATAAATGGGTTGTTTTAAATCACTAAAATTGCAGTGCATAGTGATGCAAGCCTATAATCCCAGCACTCAAGAGGCAGAGGCAGGAGGATTGTTACAAATTCAAAACCAGCCTGGGCTACAAATTGAACTCAAGGCCAGCCTGAACTGCTTAGTGAGATCCTGTCTCAAAAAGACCAAAAAAAGAAAAAAAAAAAAAAAGCCACTAAGGTTGTGTTATTATTACAACTTTTTCATTGGCAATAATTTAAAACTCATAAGACGACACAAAGAGGGCACTAAAGGTTCACAGGTAAAATCCGCTGCTTCCCTCAAAGGTGACAACCTGCAGGGTCCCCGAAGGGTGTCGCAGCTGAGAAATGGACCTGGACACAGCAGCCAGGCGAGGCCTCCTCCTGCTGTCAGTAGCTTTACCTGTACGTGTGTGGGTGCCTGGTGCGCTGGAGGGGGGTGATATGTCGGGGTTCTGTGAAACTATCCCAGAAGCCACTGGGGTCTGCTCCTCCCTGGAGGCAGCTGACGTGGCACAGGCGGGTCCCCCAGGGGTGGGGGCTCTGCAGTCTCCAGCTGAAAGCGAGAGGGAGGAGGGAAGGAGGGGAAGGTGCTGGCCGCAGCCCTGAGCGGGGGCCGCTCTGCAATCCGCCCGTGCTCCCCGAGTCCTATCTCAGGCACGCAGCCCAGGGTCTAGGGGACCTTCCGCAGGGGACTGTGCTCCACAGGACTCAGGTGGCCCCGTGGCACTGAGATGGCCAGGGAGCAGGCAGTCACCAAGGCCTTCTGCTAAATGCTGGCACGGGACGAGACTCCCTGTCCCCTTCGAAGCTAGGCACGGCCCTACAACGCTTAATCACTGACAGGAACAGAAGTGACAGATGGCACTTCTAGACAGGATGGGCAAAGGCTCGCCGCAGCCTCTCTCTCCCAGCCAGGGTGTGGCACTGCTGCTGGGGCCATCTGAGTCCCTGAGCAAGCATGTGGGGCAGGACCCCCGCCTCTCCCCCCCTCCACCCCGTGTCACCGACCACCACAGAGCAAGGCTCCTATGTCACCAGCCCTCCCTAACTCTGCCCCAGGGAAGACAGACGCGCGCCCCCCCCCCCGCCTCCTGCCTCCCCCCCCCCCCCACAAACACACACTGCATCAGGGAAGGCAGAGAGCAGGCCTGAGTACCTCCACATCTGGTACCTGGGGCCAGGCCCAGGCTAGGACAGTTCTGAAGGTCCGCCCCAGGCTGGGGACTGGCTCTGCTCAGCTTTGTGCAGGGACAGGGCAGCCTCTGGAGGGGTTTCCCAGCCTGTACCCCTGCCATGCGATCACCACCAAGACAAGGGAAAGACTGAGATGCAGTGCCCAGGGTGCACGGGCAGGGAAGTCTTCACCCGCAGAGAGGCATCTGGCTGCATCCCAGCCGCCACAGGTCAGAGGAGGCCCAAGAGGCCCGGCAGAGCGAGGTGCCCCATCCATGGCAGCTCGACCCCACGCTGGGTTGGTGGAAGAAACCAGCAGGACACTGCCGGGTCCCAGGGTGTGGAAGCAGCAGGCTGCGGGATGGGGGGGATGGCGTGGCTGTCCCCAGAGTGTTCTATGCCCCAGTGACACTGGTACAACTGTTGGGTGCAGGGCCCCAGGACGGGGAGAGCGGGCAGTGCACTAGGGCCTCCTCTGGGGCCAGGGCTCCCAGTGTGCTTCATCTGATCTGCAGACGCCACACAGCTGGGGGCCTAGGAGGACTATGCCAGGTGACAGAGCGGAGATCTAAAGAGGAGCTGACAGGCAGAGCGATGGGGTGGATCCACCGAGATGAAACTTACCAGGGACAAGTGTGTTATTTACTCCCGCAGAGGAGTGGGGACAGGCCAGGGCGCTGTCTCAGGCCCACAGGCTCTCTCGGCCCTGGTGAGACCCCACCGGACGCTGGTGTCCCCTGGGCAGAGCGGAAGTGTCACACGTACACACACACCTGAGGGTGCTGCCTGTCCTCCCTCCCATGTGCAGACTCCGGGGCCCTGCCAGGCTCTGAAGTGGGGCTCAGTTCATCGCCCAGAGCCTGGGCAGCAGGGGAGCGGGCAGCAGGAGCAGTCTCTAGTGTCCACATCACAGCCCGCATTGCAAGCCAGGCCGTGATCCCGTCCAGTGAGATGAGAGAGGCGCCCTCTGCAGTCCCTGGGGCTTCCTGGAGGAGGCGGCCTGCCTGGGGACCTGGGAGCCTTGGGAGGGGTGGCACGGGAGTCCATTGCACAGCCAGCAGGGGCCATGGATCTGAACCCCAAGTGCTGGGAGCCCTGACTTCCCGGCCGGGTGGCCTCAGATGCCACACTGCCCCTGGGCCTTGTGTTCCTGCAGAACGGGGCTGTCACAGGCACCTTAGAGGCCTTGAAAGGACCAAGCAACACAGCACACTGCCTGGCACTGAGGCGGTGTCTGCACTGTGAAGGTGTGGCTCCCCAGTGGGGGACAGAAAGCGTGAGAAGACCCTTTCTTGAGACCTCTGCTAGTTACTCTTTTGAGAGGAGCTGGTATGCTGGCCCCAGCTCCTGAGTTCGTGCACCCCTCTGTGCTAGGCCGCCCAAGTACCTGGGCCTACAGCCTGGCTTACGGAACCTCATCCAGAGGGAGAAGTGTCCACCTGGGGCGGGCTGCCCTTACCATGCCTCAGGCAGGCACGACGGGCCTGGCTCCTCTGCTTCGAGGCGGACGGGGTCCTGGCAGCCTCAGCTGGGCTCAGAGGCCTGGAGGGAGGTGGGAGCCAGGGCAGAGCACGGGGCAGAGGCTGATCCAGCTGCCGGGTCACAGGGCCCCCAGGGCTCTCCTCAGCCCAATCGAGCTGAAAAGCCAGGCTGGGCTGGGCTGCCCTGAAGGGAGGGGCTCAGAGCACGGCCAGGCTGAGGTGGACACACCCAGCCCTAGGGAGCAGGGGGAGCCCCTGTGTCCCCTGCAGCCTGCCCTGTACACACAGCCTTGGGCGGGCTGTTGGGTGCACCCCCAGGGCTGAGGAGGGAGGAAGGCTTGCCCCTTCCTTTGGCCCTGTCAGACAGCATAGGAGCCCAGAGCTGGGGGCTGGGAGGCTCACCCCAGGTAACAGCTGAGCCCAGCTCACGGCTGTCAGCACTGCCTTTGCCCTGAGCTACATCACCAGGCCTTCTGCATTTTATGTTATGTTATTTTATTTTTTAATCCTTGAGGCACGGTCTCGATAAACCACTAAGTGGCCCAGGCTGGGCTTGAACCTGTAATGCTCCTGCTTCAGCCTCCCAGAGTGCTGGGATGACAGGTGTGTGCCACCATACCTGGGACCCCCGAACACATTTTTAGAAGTCCAACATTCTTGGTGGCCTTACAAAGAGCAGGCGGCCGCCCCTGCCCCTCGGGCCCGCTTTCCCTCGTTCGGCTTGCCGCACCCTAGAACACGCCTGCAGCCCGCAGGTCCCGCGTCCTCCGTTCGGGTTTCACCCGCTGGCTTCCCTGCACGGGAGGGAGAGCAGAGCTCCGCCGGCGCTGAACAACCCCTCCGCCCCTCACCTGCCTCCACGCTCTCCCACGGCGTTCGTTAAGTCAGCGCCCCGTGGTGACATTACTGTCACAACAGGTGAGCGCGACTCCGGCCAGCTCACGTGGTGCCCAAGCCTGCAGTGCCCTTTGCGTGCAACCTTTTGTGCCATAAAGTTAATTAATGTGCCCCTCGGTGGTCACTGCCTATTTCTGAGAGTCCACGAGCTGTCTTTGGCTCATCCCCAAGCTCTCCGAGCAGACTTCCAGCCTCCTCTCAGTGGGTACGGCCCTCTGATAAGCTGACCGCATCCTCCCTGCCTGGCCTCAGAGCCTACTGGCCAGGCCGCCCTGCCCGGGCCCCAGCCCCCCCCTTCTCTGCTCCCCAGCGCCAGGTGCCAGCCACCCTCTTCCTGCACTCACGTCCTCACCGTGACAGAGCTCCCTCCAGGAGCTTCCTCAGACACGGACTCAGGTCCCTGACGCCTCCGTGGTGAGCTGCTGGTGGTTCTCGGCTGGTTCCTTGTCCTGCACTGCAGCTAATGGGGGCAGGAAAGAGCTGGTCAGTGGGATGCATGAGAGAGCAAGTGACAATGACAAGTACCACTTCAGGGCTGAGCCTGTAGACACCAGGCTGCCTCCCAACCGCCTTCCTCTCCCGTCTTCGGGAGCCTCGCAGCCAGCAGGGTGGCTTGTCCCTGTACCTTGTCGGCCCCAGGCTCAGCTAGGAGGGCAGCTGCCTCCCTGCCTCTCCTTCCCCTGGTCCAGCCTCCGGAGCAGGTGGCCCTGCTGCTCTGCAGCCTTTCTGCCTGTCCTGCTGGATCCCTCGGTGGCCAGCACTCTGAGTGCACAGAAAGTAGAAGGTGTCCCTGTTGCTTCCCAGAACTGCCATCCCTCGATTACACGGCATCCACCTGCTCATGCTCTGTCCCGTGGCCCCCACCTGCCCACCCCTTGCCCTTCCAGTTCAGTTCTTGCGCCATGTTTGGATGGATGGATGGACTGGATGGATGGATGGATGGATGAATAGATGGATGGATGGATGGATGAATGAGTGGATGAGTGGATGGTTGGATGGATGAAATGTGTAGATGAATGGATGGATGAATGAGTGCATGGATGAATGATGGATGGATGGAATAGATGGATGGATGGATGGATGGATGGATGGATGGATGGATGAATGAGTGCATAGATGAATGATGGATGGATGGAATGGATGGATGGATGGATGGACTGGATGGATGAATGAGTGGATGGATGGATGGATGGATGTATGGATGAATAGATGGATGAATAGATGGATGGATGGATGAATGAGTGGATGAAATGGATGGATAGATGAATGGATGAAGCATGACCTACCCTCAAGAAGCTTATCTTGTTGGGCGGAGGATGTAGGTTGAACGGAGAAGAATCACAAATGTACAAATCTGAACTCTCATAGGACAAACACCAACGTGTTCGTGCAGCCAGGATACTACAGGGACAGTGGGAAGTGGACCGAGTACCGAGAGCAGAGGGAGCACGTCTTTCCCCACCTCTTCACCTGACATGGCTGCTTCCTGGCTGGGACTTCCTGGGCTGGTAACTCACAGCTCCTAAGACCCAGGGTCCCCTCATGTAAAATGCAGCTGGTTAGCCCCCTCCGACACTGGACCCCATTGCCTCCAGTCTAACAACAAACAACCTTCTTACCGTCACCTCGCCCTCCACCGACCCAGGTCCGTGTCATGATCAAAGGGTCCCACACTCTTCATGTGGACCATTGCAGTGCCAGCCCCACTCCTACCACTGGGCTACCCAGCCCCTCACTGCCTTCCTGGGGCACAGAGGGGGCCTGGGGAGTGGGCCACCCAGAGAATCCCAGCACAGCCAGGCACTGCTAGGCATGGGGACAGCTGCCAGGGGACAGCGTGGGGGCTGCTGGGGATGGATGGCACCACCGCCCTGTGTGCCCAGCTCAGCAGAAACCGGGCCGGCGGTAATGGGCTGGCAGCCCCCAGCTGCAGCCAACTTCATTTTCTGCCACAATTAAATGATCGCCGCCTTCGCTCACGCTCACTTATTCAATTACCTTGGCGGCCCTGAAGGACTTACAGAGAAACAGCCATAAATAATGCGCGCCGGCTGCCCCCAGGCTGTCCTCAGCCCTCACACGGCAGCTCCAACCTGGAACCTCCTTCCAGAGCGAGGTCCGGTGTGCAGCCCGGGTCCTCAGGAAACCCCCAGCCAGCTCCCGTCACCACGCCTGCAGGTCCGGCCCCTGACTGCAGCGTTGGCAAGAGTGGGGCTCCCCTGCCCAGCCAGGGCCTCTCGGGCTCACTCGCCCTGGGCTTCCACTGGCTCGTATGTGAGTGCGGGAGTGTCCTGGCTTCCCAGAAGAAATATGGGCGCCTTTCTCCACTCCAGCCCTCTGCAACCACCGCAGTCCCAGAATGCCTCGATGCTCCATGCCCCACGCCCCACTTTCACTTCTTGTCTGGGACTCCTAGACGCCCCGCAAAGCCATTTGTACACCCTCTCTCCTCGGAGGCCTGCACTGCCTCCTACCCACACTCAGCAAGTAGATCGGCCTGTCCCATGACACCTCATGTGTCATAGGTTTGGAGGGACAGTCCCACCTTCCCAGATTCAAATATCCTGAGCCACCACATAACCAGGAGTCAGACTTGAGGGTGAGCAGATGTGGTCTCCATGGTGCCCCCAGATGTGCCCATCCCTCTGTGGCCTGGCTCACTGCTCCGATCACAGTGATAACAATAGTTAAGGTCTGGGGGCCCTGGGGTCCGATGCTGGCTGCTGCAAGGTCACAGCAGTCCCAAGGAGAGCACCCTGGTCGCCGATGAGGATGCTGGGCTGCAGCTGGGGGAGGATACGCGTGGGTCCACACCGTCGGCGACTGCAGCGAGAGGAGCCAGCCGTCCTGGGATGCAGATGTGAGCCCGCTCTGCCCGAATCCATGGCACCACCCGGGCTGTGTCGGCACTCAGTGCCGGATGAAAGGCCGGAGCAGCCGCATGCCGTTTCCCTCCAGCGCTGATGTCCCTGCAGTTTCTGTGGAGCCAGCAAAGCTGTTAAATCCAGCAGGAGCAGTGGCTCAGGCAGTCCCTGGAGATGGTGGCAGACTGGTGGCAGCTCAGACCGGGCAGGCAGCATGAGGCCCCTTTGGCCACCTTCCTCTGTACCAGGGCTCAAGTTGGCTCCCTCTATAGCTCAAAAACAGGATGCACTGTCCTGACTGCCATCTAGGACTGGAAAACCCAGGTCCTCTGTGCCCCACCCAGCCCCTGTGGCCCTCAGGAAGTGCCCTTTCTCTGGGCCTCAGCCAGATGCAAGCCGCAGAAGGTGGCTCGGAACCCGAGTCGCTGCGGACCCCACTGCCAGCCCAGTGCCCAGCCCACCTCTGCGCCTCCTGCCTGTCAGCAACCCAGGTCCCAAAGCAGCCAGGCTCGGCTGAAGACGTGTGACCAAGGGGCTCCCTAGAATTGAGGTGGGGGTTGAGGGAGGGGACTCGGCCAAAGGCCAGCTCTGCCGCTGGCCAGCTGCTCTCTGCCTCAGTTTCCTGTGCTGAGAGATGAAGGTGACACGGTCCCATGGGTGAGCTGGAAGAGCCGAGAGCACCACACTTGGGCCACACACATGGCCGAGCGTCAGAACAGACGTCCATCCCCGAGTCCCGCTGCTTCATAGGCAAAGGCAGTGCATTCTGGATTTGCACTTTGCAGCTTGATGGCTCCTGTGGGGCCCCAGGTCCCAGAGGGAGGCCTCAGTCCTGCAGCTGTTTGGGAGCCAGGCAGACGCCCTGGGCAGGCTCCAAGCACTGGGCTAGAGGCTGCTGGTGGGGCGGGCACCGGGGTTGGTCAGGCCTGCAGGGACAGGGTGGGACTCTGGGACAGCTGCAGGCTGCTGAGCTCCAGGTGCCCTGGCGGTGCCAGCTTGGTGTCCCTCCCCGCTTCCTAGGGAGCTAGGTGGCAGGAGGAGGACAGGTGGGCACCAAACTGGGCCACGAGGGGGGACCTGACAGAGGAAGGAGGGGCTTTTCCTGGGACCTCAGCAAGTCTGCAGCGCTGGTGGCAGCCATCGGGGGCCGTGGGCTGGCAGAGGTGGTTCCCAGATGTGGCCGCAGAGGGAGGCTTAGCAGCAGGATCTCAGAAACAAAGCCGAGCCTGAGAAAACAACCGTGGGCAGGACTTGGCCACTGGGGGAGGACAGAGGCAGAGTGACCTATTTGATTACGTAACAGAAAGCTGACCGCCAGCTCCCACATGTTTTGTGACTGTGTGTCTCTGTCACATGTTTAGGACTCAAAGATGTTGTCAAATAAGCAGGTGAGTAACAAGTCGGCTCTTTGGAACAACAACACAGAAACAGGAAGCAGGCTGTGTCATGCGGCGGGGGCCGGTCCCTCCCGAGACCCGAGACCTGGCTCAGCCACCTTCCGGCCACCAGGTGGGAATCATTCCCTGCAGAGGCCCAGGGGCCTCCCACTCCCCTGTGGTGGCTCTAGGGCTCTGCAACTGGATCTGCTTTGTGGCCAGGAAGAAGGTGGGGGAAGGGGAGGCAGCGGTTGTGGGGGGGCAAGTCACACCGAGATCCACAGCTGGTGACCTGCTCCGGGACACTCAGGGAACAAGTTGCACAAGCAAGACAACAACTGGGCACGGGCTGTGGGAGGGACAAAGCATGCAGGAAGTGGGCGGAACCCTCATTCTACTTCAGGAAACCCCAGAAATTCCTGTTGTGGGATAGCACTGAATGCCTAGATGTGGGGGGCCCGTGATTGTCACAGCAGAGGGTTCGTCACATGGAGGATGGCCAGGGAAGGTGTCAGGCAGGAGCTGCCCCCACACCCAGGGCCCCCGTCCCACCAGACCAGGCCTCTAGGGAGACAGAGAGCACTGCAGGGGTGAACGCAGCCAGCAGCCAGGGCCAGCAGATCCAGGTTCCCGCCACAGCCATAGCATCAGGTGCCCAGGTGGGTGCTGATGGGCCAGCGCTGTACGGTGCCGGGCGGGGTGGAATGGAAAGGTTGCTGTGCCTTGGTGGCCCATCCGCAGGTCTGAGGGCCCAGGAGGTGGGGACAGGGTGACCCAGAGCGACACCGGAGCAGGCCAAGGGCAGGACAGCCTCAGAGGCCCTCAGGCCGTGGGATGGAGTCTCAGGACAGCTCAGACCTGAAGCTTGTCTTTTGGCCAACTGTCCCCACAGGCACAGTCACCAGAGGGCATCCGCCATTTTGCAGGACCCCACCTGTCAGCACCTCTGACCGGGCGAGCCCCGCCTGGCTCCCTGCACACAGAGCTCCGGTTCCTCCCAGGAGCTGAGGGCTGGGCCGGGCTGCTCCTGCTGGTCTCCCAGCTCCCCATTGTCCGAGCTACTGAGCTCACGCTGTAAGGGGCTGGCATTCATCAGGCCTTCAAATACAGTCAGCTGCTGATGTGTGGCCTGGCCCCTTTTCCCCTGACCAGGGGTCACACAGTAACCGGGATAGGCCAGGTAGAGTCTAGGGGCAGAGCGCACGCTTAGCATGTGCAAGGTAGAACAAAAATCAGGGACCTCCAGCCGTCATCCCCTGGTGCCCACGGCCTGGCTGCCCACCCTTCAGATCTCTCTGCCTTTCCCTCCCCCTCTCATCCTCCCTTCCAGCCCCCAGCAGGGCACAGCGGCACCCAGCCCCTCCCGGGAGTCAGGTGACCTGTCCTCTCAGGCCACTGGGAGTGCAGACTGCCGGGCAGACCTTACCCAGCGCCTGAGCAGGCAGCCTGCTCTGAGTGAGACAGGCCTTTGCCCGACACATGCAGGCAGTGGGCACTGCCAACCCAGACGCCTTTCCACATACCCAGCCCCGGAAGGATCCTGGTGAGTGCGGCCTCAGGTCAGGATGCCAGGGACCACCTCGCAGAGCTCCTGTGCGGCCCAGTGCGGGTGGGAAGGTCTCCAGTGCATGGGTCCCACCATAGAGGTCTCGTCTGCATATGGGACTGGCTGGGACCCCCTGTGAAGGCACTGGTGTCCCCGTGTGTCTGCATGCCTGCGCGTGCTGTTGGGGTGCTGAGAGAGAGACCAGCAGTACAGGAAGCCTGCAACTGGGCTCCCCCCACTCCTCCGGTAGTCCTAGCCCAGCCTTTCCAGGAGGCTGCATCTGCTTGCTGTCCCGGTGTGGAGGTGGGGAGGCTGCGCAGAGCCAGGCCTGCAGAGAAAGCGGGGTGCAGCAGGTGCAGGGCCGGAGGCCAAGATTTCCATTCCCCCTGGGGCTCACCCTGCCCCCAGGCAGGGGTCCAGAAAAAGCCACAGCATACCCTGCTGCTGTCCTGGATCGGCATGTCCTATGCCCACAGCCCCGCCCTCCTGCCTGTAGGCCACAGGGCCTGGATGGCATCAGTGTCTGCGGGCAGAGGCCTGAGGGGTCACCGCGGGGAGGGGCGTCCACAGGTGCAGGAGCCACTGCCATGCCTGGCAGTCTTCTGGTCCTGCTTCTTCAGCATTTCTGGGCTCTTCAATGACCCCGACGCTCAGGCCCAATACCAGCCCATGCCCAGGGACTTTACTGTGACACATCCCATAGGGAAGCATTAGAGGATGGCATCACACACGGCACAGCCTGCACCCGGCCCTTGGCAGGCATGCTGAGTTTTGCCACATCCACTCCAGCCCACACACTAAGGTGGAAGGATCTGGAAATCAGTTACAGATGACATGGTGCTCCTTCCCTCCATAAGGGAAACTGAGGCACACCCAGGCAGGGATAGGGAGTCCAAGGCAGGACCAGTTGCTCTCTGTGCCATTTCTCTGCATGACTGCCACACCAGGCTCCTAACTGCTGAGGGTCCCTCGGCCAGAGGGAGTCCCGGGTCCGTCCTGCTGCATCCCAGGGCGCAGGCCAGGCAGAGCCCACCTGGTGGGGACAGTGTCCCAGCTTCCTCCCGCTGAGTGAGGCGTTGGAATAAATCCTTCCTGCAGAAGGCTGTATGGTCGCTGTCTCGCTGCCGAGCAGCTGCAGGGAGCAGTAATAAACTTTATGAGCGCCAGGCAGTTAGTGGGGAGCCTGCTCGCTGGCCAGGGAGGGGGTGCAGAGGGGCTGGGGGGTGGGCAGAGTTCTGGAGCTGGAGCAGCTGCTGCTTTTGTCTCCTAAAGGACAGGGGAGGCCCTGTCGGTGGGGGAAGAGGCTCCAAGGAGTGGGGCCCGCTCTGCTCGGACATGGTCTCAGTGCCCCCCACAGCCCTCCTGGTTCTGCCACCGTGTCCAGTGATGCCGGGTTGTAGAGGTTTGTGACTGACAGGAGGCACCTCGGTGGCTTCAGAGTAGCTCTGGTTTCGGGGTGCATGAGTATTAGGAATGGAAACCAGGGCCTTTGCACTGAGCTACGTCTGAGACAGGGTCTAAGTTGTTAAACTGTCCTCGACTGGGCTAGAACTTTCAATCCTCTTGCCTCAGCCTCCAGAGGTGCTGGGGCAACAGGTGGGCATCGCCCTGCCGGCTGGGTTGTGAGCTTTTTAAACACTCCTGCTCAGTCGAGACAGAACTTCAGCTGTCATCTGGACCTGCGGGGACAGGCCTGTGCAAAGCCAGGGCGGTGGGGACCGGCTCTGCTCTCAGCCGCCTTAATCCCTTCAGGGATTTCCCGGCTTCTTGTGCAGGCTGCTGCCCTCTGCTGGACGGCGGCCCCGCTTGCACTATAAGAGATCCGCCGGCCAGATCCTGGTATGGAGGAACACACAGACAGACAGACAGACAGACAGACAGACAGACACACACACACACACACACACACACACACACACACTGCGCCACGCCACACATTACTACACATTGTAGTCAGGGATTGTGAGGAAAACAATTAGAATCAGGACACAGAATTTATATTATTTTATGATGGTCACCCAGTTAAATACAAGAAAGTGCAGGAAATTGTCCACAAACTAGAGACCTAGAGAATCCAGCCGAGGGTCTGGATCCCGCAGCAGTGTCCTGCATGAGTCCACCTGAAGACCTAGAGCCCATGACAATGACTCCCACGAGTCCAACTGGAGGTCTATGCCAGTGGGGTGAAGGAGCTGTGCTGGTAGGTTGAGGGTTCTCCACTGGAGCTGAGAAGTCATGCTCAAAACAAGGACCAGGGCTGTCCTGAAAAGCCCCACAGCCATCCTCAGCGACATGGAGGCCCAGAGCTGCTCTGATGACAAGAACAGTCGAGCACATGCCAGAAAGCCAGCGTAACGAGTTCATCCTGGAGATTAAATGGCTCACTCTTCCCCTCCAGAGCCAGGAAGCGAGGTAAGGACCAGAGCTCCTCCAAGGTGAACCACAGTCACTCTCACCAACAAGGTCCCGAGCTGCTCTGACGACAATGGCTGAACTCACACTGGGGAAGCTAGTCATGACAAGCTCCTCCAGGAGAACCAACGGCTCAAACAGCAACACTCAGAGAAACCCACAACACCTGGCTTCTTCTCCACGTCTCTATTTATGCTGACAACTTTCCTTAGCTGGAACATCTACGCTCAGCACTATGCTGATTTAATTCAACTGGTGTTAAGTTGACCACCAGTTTTTAATCTATAACACTACGTGCTGGTCTCAAAAAGCTGTTCCTTTCCTGCAGCAGAGCAGTCACTGTGCTGACTGCAGACAGACCCTCGGGTCTGGCTCTCAGGCCATCTGTGTGGGGTCCTCCCCATCCTGGGGGATGCGGCAGGACCGGAGGCTGTCGGAGGCGGGGAACCCTGCAAGAAGGGCCTCGAGTTTGGCCACATCTGAGACCTCAGTGCCCCTTCCACAGGCCAGGCCAGGAGCAGCCAAGGGTGCCAGGGAGCAGGGATGGGGCTTTGGGGCTCATCGGTCCCCTATGCTTTCCCACTGGGCAGCAAGATGGCAGCACTGCCTCCACGGCTAAGCGCACCTGGCGGTGGGTGAAGACGAATCATTGCTGTATTAAAATCAAATTTAATACAGCCCCTACACTGGAAAAACATGGGGAAATTTTAAACGTTAAAAGAAAGCAGGGAAGAGATTCCCCTCTCCAAGGATAAAATCATCCCTGAAATAAGACTCTGTGACTGCAGAAGATGACATATTGCCGTGTAATTCCGGACATCAAGCCTCCCGGGAAAACAGATGCTTCCCCAAAGCGTGTATTTCACCCTTGCTCGGACCTTCCCCAGGGCCCAGTACTGATCCTGCAGGCGGGGACTCCGAGGGGAGGGCAGAGGGCCCTCTAGCCCCGAAGCCCTTTTCAGAATGGATTTCAAAGTGCCATTCCCTGCTCCAGAATTGGCGTGTGCCTCTCCCCCTCTGGTGGCCTGGATGACACCAACCCTGAGAGGCTCTGGGGTTCTCCTAAGCGGTTTTAAATGGGTTTCAGAGCCTCTTGTCTAAAACAGATTTAAAATGGCATCCTTGGGCACCCCGAGGACACTGAATGGTGCTTGTCCCAAACTTCTGGCTCCGAGGGGCCTGGGAAATGGGCTCGGGAGGGGGCGGTGAGCTGGCAGACCATCCACCACGCTGCTTTGAATTGTGTGGCCTGCCAGGCTTCCCTCTCAGACCTCCTCCTCCACCTGTGCCCGTGGTGACCTCCCCAGAGTGCCCTCCCGGGCACCACGCTCAGGAGGCTTTGGGCCTCAGTGGTCTGAGGAGCCCATCTCTTCCCCCAGCTGCGCTGAGACCCTGGGAAATCGCTTCTTTGACATCAGGGGACTGTGGCCACCTGGGGACCAGATGGGGCTTGGCTTGACCCCCTCCATCCTCCAGACCCCAGCCCAGTCCGGCCTCCCTGGCCGTCTGTGTAGCTCCTCTGCACGTGCCTGAAGCAGGCTGAGCCAACTCTCCCTGATCCTAGACCCCTTCCCGGACTGGAAGCCCTCTCCAGCCGCCCCCTTTCTCAGTGGAGGAACTCCCCTCACCTCTCCACGAGGTCTGGTCCTGTGCTTTTCACCTTGCTGGGGATGGAGCCAGCCCCTCGAGCAGATCCACAGATCGGCCCAGCGCTCTGCCCCTGAGCGACACTTCCAGCCCCCAGGACTCCTTCTTCAGCATAATTTCTTCCACACCAGTCCCTGTGCGAGACTCATTATACATTTAGTGTCTGTTGATTGAGAAAATAGACAATGACAAAAACCGCTAGGAATTCAATAACGCCTTTAAATGAATTTGTGTTTTGGTGATCACCAAACTGCTTGCAGACATAAGAGACCATTCGGCTGTTCAGGTACCACCGCCCGAGGCTGCATAGCTCACTGGGGGTGGTGCAGAGGTGGGGGGTCCTGACCTCGCCTCACCCACGAACCTGCAGTGGGGTCCTGTGGCCCGGCCAGGGCCTCCCTGGAAGGCTCCTGTCCTGACACAGTGGGCCGAGGCAGGGGCCACCCACAGCCCATCTTAGGCCCGGCTGCCCAGAGGGGGCCGGATCGGCAGGAGGGACTGACAGATGGGCAGAGCGGGCACCAACTTCAGAAGGGCAGGCCCCATGGCTGAAGCCCAGCTCTGCCACTCGCTGGTCTGGACCCTCAGTGCTTCAGCTGTTGGGACTCTGTTTCTGTGTACGGAAACCTCTACCTTGAGAAACAGAGGTGGCAGAGCCGGCAGGATGATACATAAAAAATATTCGCGCCTTGGAATAAGTGAGCACCTGACTTGTGTAAAGCTGTTTGTCATGTAAGAGCCCCACACTAGGTGATGGCTGTGAGGAGGTGCATAGGTCAGGCCAGACTCTGAGCTGTGCTATGTAACAAACACCCCCGCCCCGAGTGACTCAATGTGGCAGAGATTCCCTTCTCCATGGTGCTACAGCTCCAGTGGGAGTAGTCACACAGGTGCCCCGGCAAGCAGATCAAGCCTGCCAGCAGGAAGGTCCCAGGGTCCTGGAATCATGGGGATTGTCTCTAATCCACGCAGGCAGAGCTGGCTATCACTCAGGCCCGGGGCACAGCAGAGCAGACTGTCTGCCACAGCCAGCCGAGGGCCCCCAAGTGCCAGTGTGGTGGCTTCACCCCACTGGCAGAAGTTAACCCCTGAGCATCCTGGAGTGAGGCCCAGTGTCCACTGGTGACGGGGCAGGAGGACAGGGCCCTGGGACCCTCTGTCTACTTCCCTCCCTGACCTGCTCACCCTAGAGAGGGCACTGATTGAGGAGGGCCCTGGACTGCGTGGCTGTGGGGAATGGCACGGGCCGCAGAGGTGAAGCCCCAGGTCCTCAGCAGATGTGTTTAGGGGTGGCAGGTCCCCACGCAGGCATCCTGCTGCCTCAGAGCGGTCCTGAGACCTGAGAACAACCCACGAGGTCCAAAGCCTGAGTGCGGAGACATTGCAGAGAAGTCCTGTGGCTCCTGCCACCTGAGCCAGTGACACAGTGGCTATGACCCAGCCCAGGCCCGTGACAGACCCGGGCACCTGAATCTCCCCCCCCCCACCCCACTCCTAGCGACAGAATGTGGCCAAGGAGGGCCCCAAAGCCAAGGCCCAGTCACAGACAAGAGACTGCACGTGGCAGGAGGAGCTGCCAGGCTGGGGACAGTCCTGTCTTGTCCTGTCCTGTCCTGTCGAAGGGCATCACTGACTGGGACCTGCAGGAGGGCAGCGGGAAGGATGGAGGCCACACTCGAAAGGGAAACGGAAAAGCTGAGACTTGCTGGGAATCCGAGATCACCCCAGCACCGTGGACCTTCCTGAGTGTGGGGCGGGTCCTCCTTGTCCCCTTGTGATTCCTGAGAATGCACAGCCTTTGGCGCTGGAGGGAGGCACCCCACAGGTGACCCCCAGGGGACCACTGGGGGGCCTCCACCTGGCCCCCCAGCAAGGTTTCTATGGGGCAGGGGGCGCTCAGCTTCCAGACTTATAAAGCGGGTCACTGGCAACCTCGGCCTCCCTGCAGCCGGGTCAGCGGGCACAGGCTGGGCTGAAGCCTGGGTCATGCCTGCTCTCTCTCAGGCCGGCTGGGTGTGCCAGGCTGGTTTCTTAGCTTCCCTGGGCCTCCGTTTCCTGTTTCTGAAACAGGGCTGCTACCCTGATCACCCCAGAGGTGCTGGTGAGGCTTGAATGGGCTTATCTATGTCAGGCAGCTGGGACATGGCCGGCACTGTGTGTGCCCGAGTGTGTGTGTGTGCCCGTGTGTGTGTGTCCGCCCTGCACCGCCTGAGGAGACAGGGGTTCGGGGAGACAGGAGGGCAGCTGGATTGCCCAGTGTGGCCAAGGGGCGCGGCTGGCACGGGTGGGCAAGTCGGGGCTGGCAGCTGAGGGAGGGCGAGCTCCTCACTCCAGGAGTGACTGTCAGCAGCTCTATGCACAGCCATCCCTCTGGTCACCACAAGCGTCCCTGCCAGGGGACAGCTCGGCTAGTGGAGGCCCCTATGTGTGTGAGCCCAGGGACAGGGGGCTGGCTGGCTGCCTCTGCTTTTCTCTTCCTGCCCTTCCCGCCCTCTCCTAATCTGTAAGCAGGATCAGGTCTCATCCCGTAGCCAAAGACCCCACTGGCCTGTGGGCCTCTGCCCTCCCGGCCACATGCCGCTCCCAGCTTCTCCCAAGGGGCTGCCCAGGCGCCTCCTCCCGGATGCAGGCCCAGCCTACCCCTGTGCCTCAACCCAGCTGCCCCAGCCTCACCCTGAACCCTGCGTGTAGATGGGGAACCACGCTTCCTCCCCCTTCCCCACGGCACAGACACCTCCTGGCCCACAGGATTGCAACCCAGGGCTCAGCCTGCTTTGGGAAATGAATGGTCTAGGCTGGAGGCCCTGGGAAGCTTCTGGAATTTTCTGAACAAACTGACAGGCACCGCTGAGCACGGAGCCAGCCAGCCGTGCCGGGCCCCGCCTGAAGGTCAGCTGGAGGGTTAACCATGCCCAGCACGGCTGGCAGGCTCACCTCGAAGCCAGGAACCCAGCCGAGGGAGAGGGTATTAATAACTCGGCAGTGACAGCACCGCTGTGGGACCGTCCTCTCAGCCTGGACACACACACTGGCCTCACAGTGTCTCCTTGGCACACTCCTGAGACAAAGTCAGGACAAGTGTAGGGCTGCATTTCCAGCCCAGGCCGGGACCAGCCAGGCCCACCCTGGGGGAGCCAACCCCACCTCATGACGCTGATAAAATCTGCCCACTGCCAGACATGGTGACCCATGCCTGTAATCCCAGTACTCAGGTGACTGAGGCAGGAAGATCACTGCCAGTTCGAGACTAGCCTGGGGTGGTGAGCTCCAGGCCAGCCTGAACTGCATAGCGAGACTCCGCCTCCAAAAGACCAAAAATCCAGAGCACTGTAGCAGTAATGGTAGATGTCAGCCACCCCTCCCTGTCCCTCTCCGTAATTCTGTCTTAGCTCTGTGAGAGCCAGGTATCCTCCTCCTGTTCTATAGAGCAGTAACTGAGGCTCAGGGGTTTCGTAACTTGCTCAAGGTCACACAGCAATCACACAGTGGAGCCAGGATGCAAGCTGATGGTGCGTAGCGCTGTTGTACAAAAATAAAAACATTCCTGTAAGGTGGTAACTTTCCCCACAGCAGGGGCTCTGATCGGCCCTGGGACCAGTGGCCCTAAAAAAGCAAGGCACAAGTAAGGCACGGTTCTGGAGTTTACAGCAGTATGTGTCGCCTGATGTTTTCAAATGCATGACTAATTAAGGGTGAAGTATTTAAGGGCTCCCTCTCTTCCCTGCCCAGGAGGTGATAGATTATCCCAGAAGTAAGCAATGCTTGTTTTTTTTTTTTTGGTACTGGGGATCAAACTCACAACCTCACACTCACCAGGCAGGTGCTTGTGACACTGAGCTACATCCCTGGCCCCATGATGCATATTTATCGTCTGGTTGGAGCTATGGGGTAGAGGCCTGAGCTGGCAGCCGTTGGCATCAGGGCGCAGCTGGCATCAGGGTGGGTAGGCCCTCCCTCCTGGTGCCATCTCCCCAGTACCCCCATCCTCTGTTTTCCAGCGAGCCCAGCCAGGAGCAGCACAAAGACCTAGGAGCCAGAAGGTGACAGCAGCCTCAGGTCCCGAAGCAGCCGTTGCCACCAGCTTTGCCCTTCCCCTCGAGGCCCATGGTCGTCCAGGACAGTGCAGACCCTGGGGACGCCCGGGGGGGTGTGCGGCTGGAGCCCTTCCTGCACCAGGTCGGGGGCCACCTCAGCGTGCTGCAGTACGATGCACACACGGTGTGCAAGCCCCTCATCTCCCGCGAGCAGCGCTTCTACGAGGCCCTGCCGCTGGCCATGAAGCGGTTCACACCACAGTACAAAGGTGAGCGCTGCGGTGGGCACACGGCGGGCACACAGCAGGCACCTCTGACTTCTCCCCTCGCCGTCTGGCTCCCCCGAGCTCCTCAGAGCCTGTGGGTCTGGAGGGGGGAGGTCACTCGGCTTCCTTGCACACCTGCTCGTCACCCGGCCTAGGGAAGCTGGGAACAGACCCAGAAGGCACTGGGTGCCACTTTGTCCTGTGCCTTGGGACCACTGTGGGTGGCCCTGGGACCCTGGCTCAACACAGGTCAGTCGAAGCCCCCCTGACTTCCCTCTGCAGGCCTAGGCAGAGGCCAGGCATGAATATGCTAGGGTAGGGCTGGCTCAGGAAATCAAATTCTGCCTCACCGGGGAGGCAGGGGCAGCCAGCCAGGGAGCCGGGAACCTCGGCCGGGCAGGCCATGTGGGTCTGAGCGCCAGGTGGAATGGGGAGTGGGCTGGGAACACTATGCCCGGGCAGGTCCAGGCAGCACTGCCCAGGGCCAGGGTTTGGAAGAGGAGGCTCGCTTGGTGGAATGCACAGGGGAAAGCTCGTCTCTGAGGGACTTCAGGTCCTTGACTGCAGGCACTATCCAGCTCTCCTCAGATCTGGGGGACACAACAGTGATGTCCAAATAAGTGCATCAGAAACCACAGGCAGCCAGGCAGGGCGGTGCACTGAGGGAGCCTGAGGCAGGAGGGTGGCAAGTTCGAGTCCCACCAGGGTAACTTAGCCTGAGTTTAATCCCCTGTACGGGGGTGGGGGCTCGCACACCAATGGTGGGGCCAGTGGGAAGGACAGGGCCTGACATCCGGGTTTCTCAGAGGACGAGCTGGGGTGAACAAGCCTCTCTGGAATCCTGTGAGAGTTTGTATCTGTGGCTTTCCAAGGCCCCTTTCAGACCCAGGAATCAGAATCTCTGAGGTCCTGGGGTCAGAGCCAGGTCTGGGACTCTAGGTTTTGTTGGTTGAGTTTTTGTTGTTGTTGCTGTTGTCTGGATTTGACTTGGACATCTGTGTGGTATTGGGAACTGAACCCCGGGTCCCTGCACTGAACTACACCCCTCGCCCTTTTTTGGGAATTCATGTACTTAATTTCTTCTTTACTTGAGATAGGATCTCACTAAATTGCTAAATTGCCCAGACTAAGCTTGAACTTGCAGTCCTCCTGCCTCAGCCTCCCAGAGGGCTGGGATTGCAGGGGCACACTGACAAGTGTGGCTCAGGTATCCCCACGTTTAGCGGTTTAGCATGGTCCCCTTTCAGAACCACTAGGAGGCCTTGAACCCTGGGCGTTACTTCAGCACGGTGCTTCGCATGGACCTGCAGGACCTCCTGAGCAGCGTCAGGCCTCGAGAGACAGGGAGGGCAGGTTGGGGCGAGTGCTCCTGCTCTCAGCAGTTCATGCTAGTTTGGTATCGCTCCAGGACTGCCGCAGGCGGGCGGGAGGGGGAAGGCTGCCCTGGTCCTCAGGATCCCCCGACTCGGCCCCCTGTCTGCGCCCCATCTGCATGAGGCCAGGCCCCTGCAAGGGTGAGAACACACTCTCAGGCACAGGGTCACCTGCAGGCCTTTAGCACCTTGGGGCATCCGCCGTGGGGCTCCGCTAACTCATAATGAATTACAATTTGCATCTGGGTTACAGCCCCTAAAGCGATTGCAAGTTGGAAACAGCCAGTCATAATGTGTTTATTACACCTGACTTCCCCCACACACTAGCTCAGCAGCGCTATGCCCGGTGACGCCTGGGCTGTCCACCCTGGGCTCTCAGGGCTCACGAGCACCGCAATGATTCCCACCTCACAGGAGGGACTCACGCTGCCCACTGCTAACCCCAGAAAAGATCAAAGCATGGTTCCCGCTGCGCGCACACTGATTTCCCAGCATCACAGAGAAAAACCAATAACTGCAAGTTAAAGCACCCTCAGGCGGCCCGGCCTGTATACAGGTCAGGGGGGCCCCAGGTGCACCAGCCTCACCGCAGGCCCCCACAGAAGGTGGTGCGGTGCTCTAAATAACTCAGCAGGGGCCTGAGTCAGGGACCCAGAGACAGTGACTGATGCCTGCCCTGCTGTGGGTGGGCTGGGGGACACCCAACCGTAGGTTTGGGTGACTCAGTGTCTTAGTCACCTTCTCACAGCCCAGACACAATACCTAACACCTACGCCCTACAGGAGGCGAGGATTCAGAGGACTCGGTCCACAGGAGACGGGCTCCAAGGCAGAAAGAGCAGGGAGGAAGGGTCCAGAGGAAGACGGCAGCTCACACCATGGTAGCCGGGACTCAAGGAGAAAGGAAGGCCAGGGAAGGTTATAAAGGCTTCCAGGCCACGCCCCGGCCACACCTCAGGCCACGCCCCTTCCAGCCAGGCCCCACCTCCTCGTGGAGGGGTCCAATGAATCCACTGAGAAATACAGCGCAACCCTGGAGCCACTCACCTCACATGACTCACGCATCTCAATATGCGGGGCTTTGAGGGGACTCCACATCCAGCAAGGTACACGGAAATGCTGCCTGCCTCTCGGACCACAGCATGGTCCACGCAGCCCCAGGTCTAAACACAAACCTGCAAAACAGCCAGTTGCTAGGTAAAGGCCCAGACCATGGGAAGTCCTCAACCTCATTCTCAGTGGGGCAGAGCAGGAGGACCAGCCCCTAAGGTTGGCCTGTGCGTGGGTAGGGACCCAAAGCACCCTGGGTTCCACTGGCTGCTCGATGAACCCTCTGAGGCAGCCACTTTATCATCCCCTTGACAATGATGGGGAAACCGAGGCACAGAGAAGTTATCTGACTTGCCTGAGCGCACACAGCCAGTGGGAGGCAGAGTCAAATTTTGAAACCCTGAGGTCCAGCTCCCATGGGTGGGCTCTTGGTCCAGCAGCCCCACCCCACCCAGCCCCATGGTCACTGGAGGAATGGACTCAGGGTATCTGAGCTCAGGGGTCACCTGGCCCAAGCAGAGAGGGCTCAGGGTTGCCCAGGGGAGTGCAGCCAGTGACCTCACCCCTTTCTCCTCCATAGGCTCAGCACTTGTGGGTGTGGCCAGGTCTGAGGTGGCCACCACGCCACAGAGAACGCCCCTCACTTCTGCCCTGCTTGGCATCACAGTGGTGAAGGGAGACCCTTAGGCAGGGACGTCACCCCAAAGAGCAGCCTCGCTGTGCCAGGCGTTTGCCCTGAGCCTTTGTTGGACTCCCAGGCATGAGGGTGTCTCGGGGACACGTCTGTCTCCTCCCACTCTGCCTGGCAGTCTTGGGCGAATGAGGACACACACTTAGGTCCAGTTGGCTCACGGTTCCGCCAGATTCACATTACACACAGCGTCGAGTTAATGTCCTCATAAGCTTAAAAATAAACGCATGATGGAATATTGGCCGAGGCTCAGGAAGCTGCCTGGCCAAGCCAGAATTGCTGAGCCCCATGGGGCCTGCCAAGGTGGGCATCGAGCACTGGGCAAGATAGTGGCTACTACCGACCCCGCCTAGCAGGGCCAGGCCTTGGCGGACAGAGCCGAGTGGGCAGGAGGGGAGAGGAGGAGGGAGGAAAAATGGCCTGGAGACAGATAGACTCACTGTGCCCGTCAGAGGGACAGGGACAGACCGAGAGGCAGGGATGCGGCCCTGGCAGAGCGATTCCAACAGGGTGAGACATGGAAATGGTCTTTGGATTTTACTGGTTTGGGTTATTTGCACCTTTGCTGGCCTCCACTGACTCACACACTCAGAACCAATGAGATCAGACAAGAACTGATCCCAGGCAGGGAAGGTCACATCTCTCAGCCCTCTGGGGAGGCCTGGGGGCTCGCGCTCTGGCAGCCTTGTCACCCAGGCTTCATGAGTGGAAAAAGCCAGAAGCCTCGGATGCGAGCTTGAAGTTTACAAGACCTGAAAAGCAGAGCCCAGGGCCCCTTTCCCGGCTCCCCCAGCCCCCAGAAAAGGCGCGAGCCCAGCCAGCGGCCTCCCCTCGCCACATAAGGAGGGGGGACCCCAGGTCCGTGCTGGCTTCCAGACAGTCAGCTCTGCTCCCCCAACAAGCGCAGTTACCGTCTGTGAGGACACAGCGCTGCCTGGTGTTCCTGGCTCTGCTGTCCCCGGGAGGGTGGACCTGTGGTGGCTTCGCTCTTTGCTACAGGACAGAATGACAGGTGCACACATGGGAGACCCTCTCCAGAGCCCTAGCTCCACGTACCAGTGTGTCCCTTTCTCCCTGCCATGTCCGGTGTGGACCTCTGGAGCTCCAGTCCACACCAACCCTGTGACCTTGGCCATCCAGCACTCCCAGCCTCTGCGGGTACCATCAACAGACTCCCAAGCATGTCGCAACTCAGAACTCACAGAAGAAAAGCCTACAGGGCCACACGCAGTGGGCAGAAAGACACAGCAATCTCTGTAGGGGTGCAATTTGAGATAGGGTCTCGCTTTGCAATTCAGACTGGTCTTCAACTCGCTATGTAGCCCAGGCTGGCCTCAAACTCACAGAGGTCCTCCTGCCTCAGCCTTCCGAGTGCTGGGATTACAGGGGGGTTAGGCACAAGATGTGCCAATTGTGATCACTGTTGTGACTGTGTCCCCAGCTTGCCCCCCACCCCTCAATCTCATGTGCAGAACAGTGGTGGTGGGTTTGGCCCAGAACAGGGGCCAGCATCAGGGCAGCTGTAAAGTGTCCCCTCGGGGACAGGATTATTATCATTTGCTACGTCACAGCACACAGGAGCCTGGGCGGGGCAGAGGGAGAGTGAGATTTTTCAGGAGCTGGAGGGGACTGAATGTCCCTCCCAGGCCACAAAATTGGGGCACTGGGAATCGGAGATGTCAGGAGTGGCCCAGGGACACAGCAGAGCCTGGCACGGCGGCTCTGGAGAGCAGAGCAAAGGAGAGAGACCAGGGTCTGTGCCATGCCACCTGGGGAGCACAGCGACATGGCCCGGACAGCCTCAGCCTTGCTGCCTGCTCAGCAGAAATCGCTGCTCACACAGGAAAGGTGACCACATGAGCTGCGGGGAGTGCACAGGACAGCAGGCGGGGCCCCAGCAGAACCCTGGAGGGTCTTCCTGAGGGCCCAGCTGCAGACACGAGTGGGGGCAGAAGGGACCAAGCAGCACAGAAGAGGCTGGAGCAAGGGGCCAGTGTCCCTGCAGAGAGACGGCCCAGGGGAGCCCAGGACGCCATGGGGAAAGACCTGCGGCAGGGGCAGGGTGACAGGGTGAGAAGCCCTCTCCACACCCGGTCCTCAAGGACCGCCCTCAGGGCTATCTCAGGCGGGCACCCTGGGGGCCCAGCTCCATGCAGGAAGCCCTGGGCTCTGTCACCGTGGAGGACCTAGAGCACCAATGTGCAGTCACATCTAACTTCCCAAGTGGGGGACTTGCACAGGTCTCTGGAAGGGAGAGAAGAGGTGAGCAGGAAGACAGAGCCCAGGGTGGGGTCCGGGCAGGTGGGCCCTGCTTCCCCCACTGCTGGCCCGCCATGGGGAGGCCAGGCATGGCGACCTCTGCAGACTCCATGCTGTGCGCAGGATCATTCAGGAGCAGGATCCGGTTCCGGTCGAACTAGCCCAGCCCCAAGAGACCCTATGAGGCAGGGAGATCAGTGCCATCACACCAAGCTTAAAGTTAGCTGCAGCCACTGGGCTGGGGGAGTGTCCACAGCGACTCACCTCCCCCCTCACCATGTGTGTCCTGCAGGTACTGTCACCGTGCACCTCTGGAGAGACAGCAGAGGCCACCTCAGCCTGGTGGCCCACCCCCAGAAGGAGAACCGGGAACACTTCGAGGTGTCCCCAGAGTCCACGGCGGTGACCATGTGGCAGACGCTCCAGCAGACCACAGGCAGTGGTGCGGGCGCCCGTCCACTGGCCCAGTGGCAGCACCAGCAGCGGGCACTTGTGCTCCAGGAGAGGTGAGGGCTACCGCACAGGCCACTCCCACTGCACCCAGGGCTACACACTGCCCATGGAAATTGGCACCCAGAAAATGAGAGACTCAGATGGAGACCTCACCTGGAATAACCAAGGTGGCCAGAGAGGAGCTGGGCTCTCCGAGATGCTGAGGGCAGCCCTGGGGAGGCTTCCTCTCAGAGGTCTGCACAGAACGGGAATTTGGTGCCAACTCAGTTGATTAAACACTAAGACCAGGCAGCATCCGAGGGCACCGGGATGTGACAGACAGAGCAGAAACTAGAGCCTGACAGAGGGAGAAGTGTGGCTGAGTTCTCTGGGATTCGCACCCAGTGAGCAAGGTCCTGGGTCAGCCCGGGAGGTCCTGAAGACGCAGAAGGCCAGGGCCTCTGGAGCCTCAGGCAATGTTAGCTGAGCTTTCTCAGCCGAGAGGGAGCCCTGGGAAGTCTTCAGACACTTGGAGGGTGTACGGTGGCCATCCCGCCCCTCCTTGGGGAGCAGAGGATCTAATTAAGCACTTGGCTCCATGTCACGAAGCCCCCTACTGCCTCCTCTCACAGGTGACCAGCCGACAGGGCTGGGGACAGGGACAGGATGGGACAGGATGCGAGGGAGCATGGCCCAAGGTCCCGAGATCATGCCCACCCCACCCCCACACTCGTGGCATTTGAGGTCTCAAGGACACAACATCACACCAGGCCCCTAGCCTAAGTGATTCCAGGGGTGTCGTCCCCACAACTGGGAGCCATCAGGGAGGTCCTCAGGCCCGACAGTGTCCATGGCACTGCCCACACCTGGGCTGGCCCTTTCGGAGCTCAGCAGCTCCTGCTCGCCTGCCCGCAGCCCCACCAAGGCACTGCTAAGGTCCGAGTTCCACTTCAGCACCCAGATGTCCTCGAGGATGGACGATGCCCACGGGAGCCAGGCAGAGAGGAGGGGCTTTAACCCGTGGGGCTTGCTCTGCCATCAGGCCCACCTGAGCCGCCTGTGCACAGAGTACCCAGAGGACAAGCGGCACCGTATCCTTGCCGGCCTCCCCACCAATGGCTGGGGTGATGGGGGTGGAGGCGGGGAGGGGGGCACAGAGACAGAGGCAGAGGAGACACACACGACCTGGAGGAAAGCAGCTCCCAGCCATTCACGGTGGAGCATGCCCGTAATCCCAACAGTCCAGGAGGCTGAGGCGGGAGGATGGCAAGTTTGAGCTGGCCCTGCTGACTCAGTGCCTTGGCAAAATCCTGTCTCCAAAAAAACCACAAAAATGACTGGTGGGTTAGTGTGAGGACTTTGGGTTCAAAACTTCAGAAAAAGAAAAGCAATCAGCTCCCTCGGAGGAAGCCTGGGCAGGCTGGACTGGGAATCACACTCAGCGCTGGTTCCCTGATGAAACCACTGGCCCAGGCTCTGCTGCCTGGGCAGTGAGGACACCAGGAACGAGCAACACGGTTCAGGAGCAGGAGGGGCTTTAGAGGGCTGGAGATCTCCTTCCCTTTGTCCCCCCATGTTCTCCCTGCAGGCATTGTCCAAGGACCTGCAGGGAAAGGAAGGAAAAGTGTGCCCCCCTCTGGGAAGCACCCATGGGTGGCTCAGAAAGGAGCTGCCCCCACACACACAGGCTGCCAATTTCGGTTTAAACGCCCCTTCCCCTTCCGGCCACGGGCGGCTGGTTTCCCAGTATTTACTAAGACACATCTGCTGCAGCCCTAATCCCTAAGAAGCTTTTGCAGGATAATTACTCCGCTGAAATTAATATTCCTGCAACTCATCTCCGAAGTGAACATCAACCCACTTCTCCCCAAAGGTGCGGGCCCATTCAGTGACGGGAGGGTTTAGCCTTATGATTTTCTGCCATAAAATGTAAATTGGGCATGGCCTGCCAGGGATTTCACGCCCGCATTTAAATTTCAACCTCAGAGCAAAATGGAACTGGAAGAAAAGCTCACAGATTCATAAATGGACTTATTAAAGCAGTCTGCAAAGCTAATACCTTGCATTCTTAATAGCAAGAAGGAAGGAAGGAAATGTGGCCGGGTGTAGCGGTGCACATCTGTAATCCCTGCACCTTGAGAGGCTGAGGCGGGGGGATCACAAGTTTGAGGCCAGCCTGAGCCACTTAGCAATGTAGCCCAGCCTGTGTCAAAATAAAAGATAAAAAGAGGCAGGGATATAGCTCCATGTGAAGGCTCTGGAGTTCAATCTCTAGAATCAAAGAAAGGAAAGAGACAGACAGACAGACAGACAGACAAGGAGTGAGGGGAACGGGAGTGAAAGCATCACACCCAGGCAGCAGCCTGGACACCCTCAGAGCCTTCCTTAACTTAGTGACCAGGCTTCTTGCTCCTGGAAAACGTGGTGTCGCCATACACGCATCCCTGCATCCTGGACCTGAAGATGGGGACCCGGCAGCACGGAGACGACGCCTCGGAGGAGAAGAAGGCCCGGCACATGAGGAAGTGCGAGCAGAGTACCTCGGCCTGCCTGGGGGTGCGCATCTGCGGCATGCAGGTAGGGGTGTCCCCCAGGCCTCCCTACCGCACAGCCACTGAGAAGGCCAGGGAGACGGCTTGTCAACCAGCGGGGGGGCGTCCTAGTCTATGACGCATCAGGGGGCTTGTATTGATTTTGGGGTGCTAGGGATGGACCACGGGCCTGCTAGGCAAATGCTCTACCACTCAGAGTTATGCCCCTGGCCCACACGCTGGTTTTGTTTTGTATTTGTTTGTCTTTTTGAGACAGGGTCTCGCTATGCAGTTCAGGCTGGCCTTGAGCTCACTTTGCAGCCCAGGTTGGCCTCCAACTGCCAGTGATCCTCCTGCCTCAGCCTCCCAAATCCTGGGATCACAGGTGTGCGCCACCACGCCCGCCTGTTTTGTTTCATTTTGCTTTTAAAGAGTACCCTTCACAATGGTGGTGTCAAAAGCCCGCCAGTTTTGAACTCGGTCTCACACTGTGCAGCTCGCGCAGGGGCCCCACGGTTCCAGCCCACGGCAAGACAGAGCTTTGATGCTCCGCGCAGCCGCGGTGAGGTGGGGGAGAGCGCTGCTCCGAGTTCTCCCGAATGATGAAGATGTAGCCTGTCCCCCTCAGAGGCTGCGCGGCAGTCTGCTCTTTGAATTCTTATTAATCATTCCTTTTTTCCCTCCCACCTTTTCTGCCTTCCTCTTGCTGCCTGGTTTAGTTAAAATTTTTTTAAAATGGTGGGAAGGTCATACCCTGCCAGGCCCAGGTGAAGGGACCATTAAACCCCTTATTGCTGGAACCCGGCATTCATTTCTGCCGCGGTGGGAGGGGATAAATGGCCTCGCTCCTTTGCGCTGGCAGAATGTCTACTCCAAGCAAACCAGACACCGATGTGACGGTAAACGTTATAGCTTTCCTTAATTGAAACTGCCACCCCTTGAAGCTGGAAGTTGAGTCTATAAATCCGTTGCCCAGATGTCCCTGGGAAGGCTTCAAGTCCTCAAGAGAACAGAGTGTGATGATTTGCGGTGTAAACGGAATCTCGCTCTGGACCTCCAACCTTCTGAAATTGATCTGATTTATTTAGCAAGTGACACCTGTCATGTATTTATGATGGCTAATTTAGCAGCCCATTTCTGGCCCTCCACAGGCAACACTGAGCCTATCCTATCTTCCTGATTTTATTTTTTCCAACGCCGCCTTTCTGTACATGGATCATGTGATCAGAAGGTTGGAGAGACCAGAGGAACTGTCTCAGGCCAGGTACGGACAGGTGGCCTGCCTAGTCTTCCAAGTCCCCCACGGCCATGTCAGTGTGGCCTCTGCCGCTGCCTGGGCCTTCCGAATGGAGTGGGGGCAGCTGCTATGGACCTCCCATCAGCATCTCCTTCCATCTGCTCCCTTCTGGTGGCCAAGACATGCCAGGGAAGGGAAGGGCAGACAATGCCAAGGAGCGAGCCACCAGCCCCACAGTGGCCAGGAGCTTCCTTCTCCCACAGCCCCCAAAGCTGCGCCCTGCAAACGCCATCCACCCTGGTGATCTTCCAACAGTTCACCCCAGTCCACTGCCAGGGCCATCACTGTTGCCTTTGAATCTGCAGAGAAAAGACGTTATAATAAACTTCACTGGGGAGAATTTCATCTAGTTGGCTTTCCAAGGCCATTGGCAGTGATTTCAGGTTCCTGCTAAAGCTTTCTCACTTGGGTTTGCTTAAATATTTGAACTGGAGAGGGACACCAGCCAGGACTTAAATCATGACTCAGAGGTTGACACTGGAAATTCACAAGAGAGGAGATCCAAAGCATTACCTCAAGGGTGGAGGGTCCCCTAAGGGAGGTGACGGACCTTTGGACCTGAGACAGCTGTTGAAGGCTTTCAAGAGAGCATTTCAGAATGGGAAAACAGTGCCGGGGAGGGACGGGAGATCACCCCCGGCTCATCCCAGTCACGCCTGGCATTCTGTTTCTGTATCACCAGAGTCCGTGACGCTGCCACCATAGCAGATGCAATCGCTTTTTTAATTTGCAATTCTTCCCATTTTCTCTTTCTTCTTTTCAATGCAAGGTCTATCAAACTGATAAGAAGCACTTTCTCTGCAAAGACAAGTACTATGGCCGAAAGCTCTCGGCAGAGGGGTTCCGTCAAGGCCTCTGCCAGTTCCTGCACAACGGAGCCCGCCGGCGCACGGAGCTCCTGCAGCCCATCCTGCAGCGGCTGCAGGCCCTCCTCACGGTCATCAGAGCCCAGAGCTCATATCGGTTCTACTCCAGCTCTCTCCTCATCATCTATGACGGGCAGGAGCCACTGGAGATGACCCCAGGTGGCCAGCATCCTCCGGAAGCTCCACAGATGGCCAAGGTTGACGTCCGGATGATCGACTTTGCTCACACGACATACAAGGGCTCCTGGAAGGAGCACACCACCTACGATGGGCCAGATCCTGGCTACATTTTTGGCTTAGAAAACCTCATCCGGATCCTGCAGGACATCCAAGAGGGGGAGTGACGCTTCCTGGGACTCGACGGGACTCTCCACAGATGGATGATGCAAAGGATCTGCCGGCAGCTAGGTCACCCAGACGCCCGTTAGATGTCTTTGCGATAATCAGATCTGCCTTCCCAGCCGTCCCCACCCTTGGCAGGTGGCAGGCACAGCTGCTCAGGCCACGTGCCCCTGAGGCAGCTTCACCCACCCTGGTGGCTCCGGTGGTGCCGCCCATCAGTCAGCGCCGGGCGTCGCTGTGTGCGTGAGTCAGAGGCCAGCACTGAAGTCACAGTCTGGAGAGTCTGCTGCGGGAAGGCTCTTGGCGGAGCCCAAAACCCTCCAGACAGAAGCCGAAAACATGAGTTCCTGGGTAACACGTGAGGCTTGCACTTCTGTGGGCTGACTGAGCTAATGGATGTCTCCACCTTCCTACCAGGAGCCAGAGGTCGGGCAGCTTGGGCACAACAGATTGACTATCTGATCTGCTTCATGCCCAGCTTCTAACAGACAAGGACCCGGGCTGGGCATAGCTCAGCTGCAGGGCAGGTGCTTTGCATGTGTGACGCCCTGGGTTCAGCACAGCAAGTAATAATCATAATAGTGATATAGATACATAAATGGCGGGCATGGTGATGCCCGCCTGTAATTCCAGATTCAGGAGGCAGAGGCAGGATGATTGCTGTAAGTTCGAGGTCAGGCTGGGCTACACAGTGAGTTCAAGGCCAGACTAAACTACATGGTAGGGTCCTGTCTCAAAAAAGGCCAAAAGTAAACAAAAGAGTAAATGGACAAGGCAAAGCCCAGGCCTGAACCCTGGTCGACTCAGATCCAGATTCCCCACTTCCTGCCTAGGGGGAGGACAGTCTTCACAGGTGTCTTGGTGCCCGCTGGAGATGATGATTCTGCCACATGGTGACCATGAACTGACCCTGACCGTGAAAGGCAGCTTCCGTAGTCTCCAATTGCGATTTATTTCCGTGGGGTTGGGACGGAGGAGTCACAAGAACCTGGAGCAGCCAGGAATCCAGGAGTGATGTTTACAAGACTGGTGGACAAGTGTGAGTCCGAGATGAGAGCGAACAGCTCTAATTAATTCCTTCTTCTGTGGTGTGAAACCCATTACAATGCCCTTGAGTCAAGCCCTGGGATCCGCGCCCCAATTAGGGAAATGAATTTGTTAATAAAACTGCTGAGGTCACCAGCGATGACTGGCGGGCCTTATCACCCTTCCTGCTTGTTTATTCTGCTCATCTCCCCGAATGGTAATTCTGATTTAGGAGTGACCAGGGCACACGAGGGAATAGTCCGCAAGCTCCTACAGCTCCTCAGGGGATGGGGTGGGGACGGTGACTGACAGAGCATCTGCCAGGCCGGCACCAGATCCGGGCGGGCTGGGGCTTCCATCTGAACCTTGGAAAGCACAGAAGCAAGTCCCTGTTGGACTCTTAGGGTTGCTTGCTACCAATTTCCGAAAACCCACATACTCGGAAGGGAAAGAGTAGCCGGATAATAAACCCTCTCGTTTCCGTCTGGAACCCATCACCTCGATGGCCAAGCAGGTGAACTTCCTGACAGTGTCTGGCCAAGGGGATGACGGCCACATCCTGCTTCCTCTGGACCGGTTGCCCCTGGAGACGCGGGGAGCATGGCCTCTGAGTCCACACCTCCTGCCTCGGCTGCCCTGCGCTCAGTTCTGGGTGCTGTAGGGCGCACCCCCCCCCCCAGGACCTCCCTCTCTCCGCTCAGCCTTTCCCCAAGGTGCCCTTCACAGACCAGGCTTTTTTCCTCCCAACCAAACTGTTGGAGGCCCAGCTGAGTCCCCGTCCCCTCCTGAAGATGTCCCCAACAAAAGCACAGTCCGTGACAAGAAAGGGAGAGTAGGCTGCTGGTTGGAGTTTTGGTGTTTTCAGACAAGGTCTTGCTGCAGAGTCCAGACTGGCCTTGAGCTCACTAGGTAGCTCAGGCTGGCCTTGTAGTGTGACCCTCCTGCTTCAGCCTCCTGAGCACGGGGATTCCGATGTATACCACCGTGCTGCTGGGGTGCTGTGGTCAGGATTTTGTTTCTGGCCCTGCAGATTAGTAAACTCAGCACAATGAGCCCATGCACGGGACCCACCCCTGGGAAGAATACAAGGGTGCAGAGAGAAGGGAGGGGTCAGCATTTGTCTCTCAGATGAGTGTAAAACAGCCGCAGGCCAAAGGGCTCTAAATAACGAGGTGGTCAGAAGCCTTCCATCCAGGTCTCTCGGCTCATTGTGCCGGGGAAGATGCCACTCTTGAGGAGCTTAGGTTCCAGCTGAAGAGGTGACAGTGACACACGTGAGCTGGCAGCAAGTCACACTGCACAGTGAGTAGCAGTGTGTACTGGAAAGGAAGGGGATTCCTGGCTGCTGGACAGGTTTGGGGCCAGGGGACACAGGCCAGCTGGCTTGGTCCTGGCGGGGACACTGATGGCCATGGTGGGGGCCCAGGGGAAGCCAGAGGACCCCAAGCCTTCTACCTGCTCCCCGCTTGCCTGTATGGCCCCCTCGGCTGGCCGGCTTCCCCAGGGTGGAGAGAGCTCTGCTTCCCTGAGTTAGGAACACTCGGGTATCAGTCAGGCCGGCTGCCCACTGGCACAAACGCCTCCCCAACACCAGCAGGGTCAAACTGTGCTCCAGCGCTGCACAGAGAGGGGAGTGTCACCAGCAGGGAAGGCACCTGCACCCAAGGGCCAGAATCAGTCACGCAGCCTTGATTTGTCAGATGCCGAGGGGCTGCCATGGGGACACAGGACCAGCCTGGAAAGAGAAATGGCTTTGATGACACCTAGTAAGTATCCAGGGTAGCCTCTTTCTTCCCAGGCCTCATGTCAGCAGGGAGCAAGAAATCAAGAGTCAGCAGGTTCGAGGAGACGGCAGGAACCGGAGGGCCACCTCTGCAGGCCCTGACCAGGCCCTTCCCCTGGCTGGGTGCTCAAGCAGATCCTCTGTGTCCTTCCTCTGTGCCACGGGAACTCCAAGCAGGTGACACTGAAGAGCAAACAGGGTCGCTGCCATCTCAGTGGAGCAGCCTGACCTCTCCTCCCCATCCGGCCTCCTGCCATGGCCAGCAGGATCACAGGGCAGCCCAGGACACGGTCACCCCACCCACGCCGGCCCTCAGCTGTCGCCTGTGTGATTAAACAAGGCTGAAGCGCAGAAGTCATTAGGGTTTTTCCGTAATGCAGTGTCATCCACTGGCCCGGGCCCCTGGGCAGCGCCCCGGCAGCCCCATCAATCTCTGGGCTACTCTGAGCTCTCGACCTCACAGCAAAGGGAAGGCGGCTGCCTCGTGAAACACATGGCAAGGCGCACCTGTGCACAGCGGCTCTCCACAGTGATCTAACGCTGACTTCTGATTTAAATCTGCATCCTCTGCGGCCAAAAGCATAAACCAGAAGATGAGGGAGAGAACTGGAGTGAAAGCTGGGTGCCAAGAAGCTGGGGGCCGGGCGCAGAGGCCGCCCTGGACACCGCCAAGGCCACCGGCAGGCTGGGCGTGACAGCTCCGTCCTGTCCCCTCTGCTGCTTCCAAGAGCTGGTCCATGCTGGGTGGGGGCCTTTCCTGATGTCCTCTGGACAGTGTCCCAGAGGGCCGGGCACAGACCCACAGACCTGGCTTTATCCCCCAACTGGGTCGTGATCCCCCGACTCTTTCGCTGTACAGCATTTACTGAGAGCCCAGGCCCTGCCTGCAGTAAGGATGGGTGCTCTCACACGAGAGAGGGGACAAGCACAGGCTGCCGCCTGCTCAGGGTTAGGAGGGCCTCTCTGTAGGGCCGTCAGCCGGGGGCGCAGAGCAGGGAAGGCAGGTGATGGAGGTCACCATGGAGCCCAGCGGCTCTGGGCAGAGTGGGCTGCCCGAGTCCCACAGAGGCCCCTCCCACCAGCTTCCGGCTCTTAGGAAACCTCCAGGCCAGGGCCACTGGCTATGTCACGGTCACTCTTCTGCTCACCCTTGCCCCCGGGGCACGAGATGACCGCGCAGCTGCCCGTTCGCCCTTCCCTCTCCGCACTTGCCGTGATGCAGCCGGCCCTGCACTGCAGCCAATGGCTTCCTCCCGCCGGGTGGTGGAAAGAAGAAAAACCAGGCAACCCCACAACGAGGAGGCATTAATTCCTCTGTAATGTTACATTATTAACACCAGCATTACCTAACGATATTTTTACTTTCAAGCCATTTAAATGTACAATTTGGTGTCTCAATTACTGGGATCATTAGAACTTAAAAACCTGAAGCTGCGATCCCCCCTCTTTCCCCCTGCTGACGCCTCAGTTCTGCAAAGAGCAAGCCGGTTCCACAAAGCCCAGAACCTGGTTCCAAACATCGAGGGCGGGGCAGCCCTGCTGGGGTCACGGTGAGCCCAACTGAGTGACAGCTGGCAGGTGGGCATTAAAACGGTCATCAACTCCTCAAGCACTGGCACTGCGGGCTGCGTTCCAGCAGTGCCCATTAATGTGCCCCACGTGGCACTGGTGACTGACAGGCCAGCGAGCCCAGACTCCAGGTCACACCAGCCACTGCACTGAGAAAGGCAAAGGGGGCCCAGGAGCGAGGCCAGGAGGGCCTGGGGTCCCCGGAGACAGATAAATAAGAGCCGATACACTCTGCTGGCTGCCACCAGAGCCCGGGCACAGAGCTCTGTGCTGAGCAGCCCGACACAGCGTGCCAGATTTAAACCGCAGGAGGGCAGTGACAGCGGCTGCCAGCCTGGGGTCAAATCCTGGCTCTTCCACCTCCTAGCTGGTGACACTGGCAACTCCTAGCTCCTCTGTGCCTCTGTTTCCGCCTCTCAAAATGGGGATGATTGTGGTGCTTGCTTATTTAGAACACCGACCAGCAGGTACAACTACTCAGTGTTATTTTTTATTTTCAGGTGGTGTCTCACCACAGCATACTGAGAGGAGGAAACTGGAGGTCAGAGCAAGTGAAAGACCCACCACCCAGCCCGCGGTGGAAGAGCCCTCGTCCCTCTCACAACCCCGCATGTGGCCACCCCCGGGGACTCACTCGGGTCTCTGCCACCCACAAGCCCTCAGGGACCCCTCCGCCATGGTGGACCCGGCGCCCCGTCTTGACCTCTCTCTGGCACTCATCACACCTGCAGCTACCTCGTGTCATGTAGGTGTTGGTACACACAGCACGGTTACTGCTGTCATCCGTCTGCTTCGAAGCTCTCTAACCCACAGGGTGAGGCCTTAGGAAAGGGAGGCCACAGAAGGAGGCGCCTGCCTGAGCTCCTGTGGCCTCTTCTGTCCATCTTGCCTTCTCCCTGTACGTGGACCTCAGGTGAAGTGCCACCCTGCACTCCTCTTCCTCGTGCCTAAGACGGGGAGTCTGCCAGCCAAATCATGCCCCTCTCTCCTGCCCTCTGCCATCCCCCTCGCCTGCCACATAGTCCCTGAGCTTTCTCCCTAACCCCCCTGTCTTAGTTATGGGACAAAACACCTGACACCCACAGAGCAAAGGAGTAGAGGTTTATTTAGCTCACAGCTTGCGGAGGTTTCAGTCAGCTGTTCCAGAGCCGGGCAGCAGGCAGAGAGGCAACAGTCCACGGCAGGGCAAGCAGCAGCTGCAGGCCTTTCTTTCCCTTGTATTTCACTCGGGTTACAAGCCTGGGTGCCACCCACACCTGGGGAGGCTTTCTCGTTACCCACACTCAGAACTATGCTAAATCCATCCGTGGACTAATTTATTTATTACACCTTTAATCCATATTCGCATCCCCTGGATCCAGCCAGCCCTGAAAAGCTCCCCTTGTGAGCACACGAGGCTTTGGAGGGGGCATCTAGATACAAGCCATGGCATCCCCGGAACGGCTAGAAATAACATGTCTTTCTCAAAATCCAACCTAATACAGTCACGCACCACTCAACAATGGAGGTGGGTTCTGAGAAGTGTGTCACTGGGCGATTTCACCACATCAGTGTCACCCAGCGTACTTACACAGGCTATGTCAGCTCCAGTGTCCCCAGGCAGCATAAGCTTACGGAACAGCCGGCATGGGAGAACTGAAGTGTCGCTGTGGGGACCACGACTGTGCTTCAGCTAAAAGCCTTTCCCCTCCACCTCTGCGGTGTTATGTGTACCCCTGGACACGGCGGCCAACCCCTGAAGAAAGGAGTCTCCAGGATTCACCTCTGCAAAGGAAGGAGGCGGAACAGGAAAGGGGGGAGGAGGGTGAAGTGCTATCGGTTTGCTCTTTCTATTTTCTCTTTTTGGTGTTGTGGTTCAACTCACAGCCTCACAATTGCCAGGTGGGTACTTACGCCACTGAGCTAAATCCCCAGCCCTAATCTGGTCTTGACTCAAGGCAGGATGGTTAGGCAGAGAAGGGCTGAGGATTTTATGAAAATCTAGGTGGCAGGTGGGGCAATCGTATGAAAACAAAAAACAGGCCACATTGGTGATGTGGCTGGAAGTATCTCAGAGGGGAGCTAGCAAAATAAGTCTTAATGGGACAGAATATTTGAAAATCACATATATCATAAGGGTTTAATGTACAGAATAAATAGAGAACTCTGAAAACTTAAAACCAGCAGCCACAAAAAATGCAGCTCAAAAATGGACAAAGAAAGCAGTGTGTGGTGGTCCATGCCCCAAATCCCAACACTGTAGGAGGCTGAAGCAGGAGGATCTAGCCAGAGCAAATTAGTCAACTTAGAATGCCCCTGTCTCAAAATTCAAAAAATGTCAAAAAGGAAGTGCAGCTCGGTGTGAAAGCCCTGGGTTCAGTCCCCAGCACCACACACAGAAAAGGACAAAGTACATCACTAGAGGCTTCTCCAAAGAAGCCCCTTAGCGCAGCAAATCATGCACAATACCAGTAACCATTACAGAATGCAAATCAAAGCTACAAGGAGACACAACCTCACACCCACTAGGATGGCAACTACCAAACTGCTAAAAAAATTAAAATGCAAAAGGGGAGGTAGGGTTCTGACATATGCTACAGCACAGACAACCCGTGAGGACCTTCTGCTAAGAGGAATAACCTAGTCACAAGACAGTGTACGATTCCGTTTCCATGAGAGGTTAAAATTCCAGAGACGCAACACAGAAAGGTGGCTTCCAGGGGCTGGCAAACAGTAAATTATGAGGGGCAGAGTTTCAGTTTTACAAGACAAAGAGGCACAGAGGTGGAAGCCTGTGAGGTCTGAGAGACATCGTGAACATATTTAATGTACACTTACATTACTGTGCACTTAAAATGGTTAAGACGAATTTCATATGCATTTCGCCATCATAAAAAATCTAAGTTTTGGCAGGGTGAAGGAACCCAGTTGACATTACTGTTAGGGAACCTGCATTCCAGGGAAGAGTACTTGGCTTGGAGGGTGGGGCGCAAAGATGCGCACAGTTGGGGCTGCAGAGAGGGATGACAGCTAGAAGCTCGGAAGAAGCCCCCGTGGTGGAGTTTCAGGTGAACTGAAAGGTACCGGAGACAGGGGCTGGACACTGTGTGCGTGCTACATGCCTAAGTGCAAACTCATCTTCATCCAATAACAATCTGTATTTATATGCAAACAAATTCGCTTATGCAAAGCACTCTAGGTCTCGCAGGAGGGTTTTCTAGTCTGGAAATTGTTCAGTCGTTGAAAGAAATGCAAAGCTTTCCCTAGGGCACTCCGTTTGGGCCTGGCCCCTGAGAGTTGGGAGTTCCAGGAGGAAAAGGACCTAGTCAGCTCGGCTTACAGAAAACTGGCAAACAGCGCCACCGCCCGGCGAGCAGTGCGACACCCGCGAAACTGCGCATGCCCGCCGGGGGGGCGAGGAGGGGGGGAGATTGTGCGCCTCAGTGCGCATGCGCCAAATGCCAACTCCGCCTCCAGGGCGGAACAGTTGGGGCCCAAAATGGCGGCCAGCCGCTACCGCCGTTTCCTTAAACTCTGTGAGGAGTGGCCAGTGGACGAGACCAAACGGGGCCGGGACTTGGGCGCTTACCTGCGGCAGCGGGTAGCACAGGCCTTTCGGGAGGGAGAGAACACTCAGGTGACCGGCGGGGAGGTGGCTGGGAAGAGGGAAAGTACGAGGCAGGGGCGGGGCCGGCGACCGGGGAACAGCGGGGCTGCGCATGCGCGCCCGTGTCTTTCTGGCCACACATGTGCGCGGACTTCATCTTGCCTGGGAGCTGCGGCTGCCACTGTTGAGCTGGCTGCACCTTGCAATCACCGCAAAAGTTCTTAAAAATACAGGTGCCCAGGCCGGGCGGGGTGACGCACGCCTGTAATCCCAGCACTCGGGAGGCTGAAACAAGGGAATCATTGCTAGTTGGAGACCAGCCAGGGCAACAAAGTGAACTCAAGGCCAGCGTGAACTGCACAGTGAGACCGTGGCTCAAAAAGAGAGGAAAACAAAAAAAAAAAACAGGTGCCCTTACCTAATATGTTTGGGAGTGGGGCCTGGGCATCAGCATTTTTAGAAGCTCCCCACGTGATTCTGGATACTTACAGGGTTGAAACCCACAGCTCCCATCACGGCTATTGCCAGCAAGTTGCTCTGTTACCCCTCTTGGGGTCTGTATTGACTGAGCTGGTCCCCACTAAGTCTCTGCGCCCTTCCTGAACTATAACTGCGCTGCAGGTGCGGGTTCCCCTGCCAGGCTCCTGTGTGTCATGGGCCTTCTTGGTCTCTAGGTTGGCGTGGAGGCTCTGGGATTCATTCATTCATAGACCACATAGTTATTGAGCACCTGCCATATGCCAGGAACCGTGCTTGATGCCAGGGAGATACCAGTGAATTAGAACGGAAGTCCTGCTCGTGTGGGTTTCCATTCTAGTTCAGAACACAGTAAACCAATAGACATACAAAGACTGTGGTGACCGTAAAGTAGGGTAGCATAATAAAAAGTGGCGGTTATGGTAGGCGTTTCTGAAGAAGTGGCACAGAGGTGAGACCTCAAGAGAGTGTGAGCCAGCAGTGTGCCCTGGAGGGACATGGCATTCCATGAAGAGGACTGGTGTGCCCTCGGTGCCTTTTTTCAAAAGTCACTCTGGTTCTGTGTGGTGATGGATTGTACACAGGCACTGGAGGCAGCCAGATTCCGATTGTATTGTTTGCTTCTGTGTTGGAGGCGGGGAAAGGGAAAGAGGATGAAGATGGCACCTGGATTGTTTTTGTCCGGAGTAGCTGGATGACACTTCCTGAGCTGGGAAAGACTAGATGCGGGCCAGCTGAGCATGGGAAGCACATTGTGAGTGTGATGTTACCCACATTAAACTTGAGATGCCGTTTGATTTCCAAGCCAAATGTCAGGCTAGCAGTGTGGTGTTAGAGCCTGGGGCCCAGGTGAGTACTGAGTGAGAGAGTACACACAGTGGGGAAAGTAACTTGTGAAAACCAAAAACAAAACCAAGGAATGACTTGCCATACTTGGCCAAGACCTGACCAAGGAGGAGCCTGGGGCTCTTGCAGCTCAGCCCGACACAGCCAAAGTGGCCCTCCTAATGGAGCGAGAGCACGCTGATGGGAGTGTGGCCCAGGACGTTGCAGGGGGCCCGCCCTATCCTCAGGGTCTTCACCAGGAGGAAGTGAGAAGATTTGGAAGGCAGGCATCTCATCTGCTCCCAGTTCTGCAGACTCATAGGCTTTCTGGGCTGTGCTGGTGCCTATTTTTAGTGCGAGCTTTTTGCGAATAGAGATGATGCCGTGTATTTTTCCTCCCCCAACCGTAATGTCTAGCGTGGTCCTTGGCGCATAGGACAGCGCTCCGCACGTGTCTGCCTGAGTCGCTGCATAAGCAGTCAGTTATGGCTCACGAGACAGATCATTTGAACGTAGTTGCGGATGTAGCAGAACTAGATGGAGCGAAGTGAGGGCATGTCAGGACTGTGTCTGTGGCCTGGTGGTGCCCTGATGAGGTGCTTTCTGTGTTTCGGGTACAGTAGAAACAACAGAAAAGGGACACAAGCCGGTCCTCACCAGCAGGCTGGGTCCCTCTATGTGGGCGGTCAGGCCCAGGTGAGGCAGGAGTGTGACAGTCACCTACTTGATTGCCAGCATCAGAGCCGCCAGCCAGGAGGGTAGCGCTTTCTCTCTGGGAGTTGTCACCCTTTGTCATCCCCTGGGGAGACAGCTCCTGCCCAGGGAGAGCCCACATGGGTTGAGTCATCATTGCAGATGCAAGTTTTGGCTGTGCCACCATCCCCGGGCAGCTGATGGATGCGATCCTACTGGAGCCAATGGCAGTGGGCACATTACTCAAGGCCACTGTCCTGATCCCTCATCTGATGTGACCTGCAGAAGCACCTGGGCTAGTAAATCACTCCCTGATCGTTTTCAGAGGATGCAGCCAGACTCCAGAACAGCCCTGGGAGTCTCTGCAGCCCAGGTCATTTAGAAAGACCTTGAGAGACGGTGGACTGTATCCTTTATCACTGGGCAGCAGCAGTGGGGTGAGGCCTGGCAGGGTGAGCAGTCAGCACCCCCTTTGGTGATGCCATTTGCCACCAAGAAGCCAGAACAGGATGGGGAGTTGCTGCCCCTTTTGGGGAGAGGGGCTAGCAGGGCTCCTCTGGCCTCTTGGCTTCCTGAGCCCTGCTCTCTCGTGTGCCCGGTCTTCATCCTTAGGGCAGCTGAGCGAGGTGCCATGACTGTTCCCATTTTCCATGCAAGGAAGCAAAGTCAGGAAAATTCACTTAGTCGGAGCCACCCTGGCCCTGGCTGACCTGGTCTCCTCAGGCTGCTCTTCAGAACGGCCTCTCGTTCCTGTCCCCCGCCTTCCTCCCTGCTCAAACCATTTTGGACCTCCCCGTGTGTGCCCACCTGCTCTGTCCACCCTGAGTCCTGCCTCCCTGGGGCAGATGGAGAGAAAGCCAGCCCTTAGCGGGACCCCAGTTCAAAAAAGCAGGCTCAGGAGAAGGCAGATTAATAATTCAGGCTCCAGAAGAGCGCAGAACCTGCCGCCTCCACGTCCTCCGCCTCCAGTTGCCCTTTGGGGAGTCTCAGGGTCCACCCCAAACCCACTGGGAATGGGAACACATGGAACACCTCTCGCCCCCTGGGCCCCATTGTGCGGGATTTTGAGTTGTGTTTACCGGTCTTGCCTCCTTTGAATGTAGTTTCCTGAGAAGAACCTGCGTTCCCTGCTGCACTGAGAGCTCAGAAAAGAATCTCGACATGGGGGAAGGCAGCAGGGCAACTGCGATTGTTGACTTAACCACGGGGAAGGAGCATGGAGCCTCCTAATGGGTTCGTTAGGCCCTTGCACTTTGCCAGCCCCCCTCTTCCTGCCCAGCTCGAGCTGTGGCAGCTGTGTGATGTCCAGGTTAAATCTTTGGCCCCCTTCCAAAGAAGCCCCTCTTTCCTTGGGCGCTAGCAACATAGCGATGCTTCCAGTTTCTCAGCGCGGAGTGCAGGGAGTGCACAGTCTGCCAGAGGCCTGAGGCCTACGTCCCGGTGCAGCGGGGAGCTGCAGCCTCGCGTGTACCGTACGATGGCGAGGAGATGCCGTCTGGGTGAGCCTGGCCCCATGCCCAGCCTGTGCCCCCAGGAGCCCAGGTTGTGAGGCACGGCCTGAGAAGCAGTCACCCTTTGCAGCTGTACTCTAGAGCCTACTGCTAGCGGAGTGGCCTGGAGCAGCAAGAAGGGAGTGCAGATGCTTCTCGGTGGGCTTTCCCAGTCCCTAGTGAAACTGCAGCAAAACACAGTAGTGCTCGCCTGAGGGCCGCGCTGACCCGTGCATGGTCAGCCACAGGTGCACCTCGTAGGGGCCCTTGTGGTGGTCACCATGTTCCCGGAGAGTTTTAGGTTGCCTGCTGGACAGCAGGGGGCAGCCTCGGGAGCCTTTGGTACCCTGTGGTCCTTGGCATCCAAGATCCAGCTGCATGTCCAGCCCAGCCTCGGTGGCCCATGCAGGTCCAGGTGAGGCCTCAGCAAAGGTGCCCTCATTGTCTCCTCATTGCTTATAGTGCCGGAGCGGGGTCTTGTCTGGTCTTTTCATACTGGCAGTTGAACTCTGGGAGCGCTGAGTTATATCCCCAGAATTGCATTAAGTCATCCACACTGGTTTCAGATGCAGTCCCCGCCTCGGTGTGACCGTGCCTAGCACACAGGTGATCCGTAACCTTGGAGACCTGAGGGCCCCAGACGCAGCTCAGCAAACCTTACTGGCAAACCTTACTGTGTCCCAGGCTCTTGAAGCCCTGCCTCCCAGGGCCACCCTGTGTGCCTTCACCCCCACATCGCACTGAGGCCCCGTGTTAGAGGGCACAGACAGCTCCTCTGAGTATCTGTGCCCAGTCTCTTTGGCTTGATCACCAGCTTCTCTAGGGCTGGGGCCAGGTCCTCGTGTCCCCCCAGCCCCTCATGGAACACGCTGTCCATGGCAGGTGCTGGAGAAAGCTCCCCAGTTCAGCTAAGAGGCAGATGCTGCCTAATGGGATGAACTCATTTCAGCAGTTGATTACCGAGTCGTGAATACCTTTTTTTTCAGGGATTCTCCTGGACCAAATCCAGCTCTACCTTAATTAGCAAAGCAATTTGTGACACCCTTTCCCAAAAGTGCTTATGCCTCCCTTTATGTGACTAGAATAAAGGCCACTGCCAGTTGCTGTCACCACTCAAAATTCAATTTTGAAAATCGAAATCGGTGCCTGCGGCCCTGATGTAGATTTGTGTGTATGAAAGTTTAATACAGCAAAGAGAAACTTCCTGACGGCTGAGCAGGGGAAAGGCAAAGGGGGCCAAAACAGAGCTGTAAAGGACGCTCTGTCAGCCGACATCTATTTCACTCACATTCAGGAGCCGTGCGGGGTTTTTCATCACGTCCCTGCTGCTGCCGCTTCCAAGCCCGGTTCCACCATCAGCTCTCAGATGTCTGTGGTCTCATTAGATGTGAATGCAGAGCCCGGTAATTTAAAGCATGGATACAAAACTGGTTCACCAAATGCATAATACGCTTCATCAGAAACGTGTATTTCGGAATCCAGTGTTTGTGGTAGAGTCCGAATAGAGTGCAACGTGGGTGCACAGCGAGGCTCACAGAGTTAGACAGGTGTCTTTGCCGAAGGTCTTTAAGTAGTAAATAGAGGTTGGGTTTGGGCTTGGCTTGGTTTTCCGCTACTGCGAACCTAGGACTGCCTGGGACTCCTCCATTGAGAGTGCTGGGCAGGACGTGCACAGGCGCAGAGCCCATGGGAGCCTGGCTTTGACCAGCCGAGGTGGCAGGAGCCAGGGTAGTGGCCAGGCAGCTGGGGATGTCTTGCCTAGGTGCTCAGTCAGGACATGGCCGGGGCTGGCCTGGGCCAGCCCAGCCACAGAGGACCACTCCCATCTCAGCACAGCCACGCTGACATGCCAGCTCCCGGGGCCTGGGCTCAGTGCCCCCTGCCTCCATGTCCCTGTGCCCATTCTGGCTCTCCTGGCTGCCTTCGAGCCACCAGGGCAGTCCCAGTTGAGTTCTTGTGGTCGGATTGTGCCCTTGCCGCAGTGGCTGTTGGCTGCGAATGATCACAGCGACACTAAGCCTGTGCTCCGGGCCTGGCTTTCAGAGCAGCCTGTGTATCATCGCCTCCCCCAGAACAGGGCTGTTATTATCCTCCTTTTCAAAAGGGAGGTCGAGTTGGCCTGTGTGTTAGAAATGGCAGCGCTTGGCAGAGGAGGGCTGAGGACCTGTCCCGGATTATAAGGGCCTGGGGTCAGACACCGGTGCCTGCTGTAAGGGTCCTGCATCCTGTCGGGGTTGCACGGATGCAGCAGCCACCCCTGGGTGGGGACAGTCAGCATGCAGGGGACGCACCCTGAAGTGAGGTGAGGGCCGCTGCCTCCCAGTGGGTCTGAAGGGAAACATCTGGAGGGTGGTACCGCAGCAGGTGGGGTTTGCAGCCTGGGTCTGAGGGCAGAAGGCGGTAGGGTGACTTGCTAACTACCCGGAGCCAGGAAGTGGTGGTGCCAGGCTTCCCCGTGGGCCCTTGACTGCCACTGTCCCCACAGCCATGGACATGCTGGCCCCCAGGTGCACACACAGGCTCCTGGTGACAGGGGTTGGGTGTGATGTAAAAATGACACCCTGTGGCCTCTGTGCCAGTGTCCTTGAAGGCCCAGCCTCCCCACGGGCCACACCTGTGATCTCTTCCTGGGTGTCTCCCAGAGGGCACACAGGCTAGACCTGGGCGGGGTGGAGGTAAGGGCCCCTGACCCACGCTCAAAGGTAGATGAATTTCACTCCTGCTGTCTTCAAGAAAGGACACCAGTTGGGGGAAAAAATGATTTGAATTCTGGGAAGAAATATAAAAGGGAAAGTTTTGTTCTGGAGGCTTTCAGAATTCTTGGTCTAAAAATAAGAAACTGCCTGGCATGAAGGTGAGGCTGAGGCAGGAGGATCAATGCGAGTTCAAAGCCGGCCTGGGCTACAGAGTGAGTTCAAGGCCAGCCTGAAATGCACAGTGAAATCCTGTCTCAGGAAGAACCATAAAAGGAACTGTAGAGAGCAGAGTGGGCAGGCCAGATGCACCTGTGTGGGTCATGGCCCAGAGGACCTATCACTTCCCCCTCGAAGTCGCAGGCCCTGTGAGTGATCCAGGGTCTGCCTCCTGCCGGGCACCCCTGCGTCTCTGTTGCCCTCCCCGGGTCTGGTCTCACTGAAGCCCCACCTCCTCCTCCCTTCTCTCCTTCCTGGAGTTTCAGTGAGCCCCGACTCCCAACTGTCTCCTCTCTGCCTTTCACCAGAAGATCTTTACTTGGCACATTTCGTGCTGCAGGTTTAACTCCGAGCGCTTTTTCTCAGCCAGGCTCTTGTACCTCGCCCTCGGCCCTGGGGCTCCCCCTGCCCCTGCCCCCTGAGGGTGTGGGCCCCAGCCTTCGAGCTTTCTGGTTTTGTTTGATTTTGGGTTCTGAGAATCAAACCTGGGACAGCGGGCTTAGTGTTTTAGCAAAGTGCCTCCCACCACATTCGGCTTGGTGGTTCACAAGTCACCGAGGCTCAGCCTATGCTTGTTTGCTGGCTGATTGATCAGGTTTCCTGCTGGTGACTTGTGGAAGCGGGTGCCAGAGGCCAGGCTCGCTGCCTACCAAGTGGGCACGGTGCATGCTGAAGGCTGCTTCCCGTGAGCCCTTGCGCTCGGGTGCGGGGCCACCCTGCTCAGTGCTCCGGGCTCTTTGTCTTTCAGGTTGCAGAGCCCGAGGCCTGCGATCAGATGTATGAGAGCTTAGCACGACTCCATTCAAACTACTACAAACACAAGGTGAGTGGGCTGCGTTGGGTGGGCGGCGGGAGGGGGGTGAAACGCTGATTAAGCAGTGTGTTATATGGAACTGTTTTGCTGCTTTCAGATGTAACCATCAATTTCAGCCGTGCCAATAAAGGTACCTGGTAGAGACTGTTAGGTCACCTAAGTAGAAGCTACTAGAAATTCTGAACAAGGGCCAGAGACAGTCCTGGGCATGCCAGTCTGTGCTCCTGGGAGCCTCTGGCCGGTGGGGTCTCACGCCCTCTCCCCATCCCCCACCTCAGGAGGCCAGTGCTGTCCAGCTCCGAGGGGATGGGCCGGCCGGGAAAGCCCCATCCGACAGAGCTGTGCTCTTCCTCAGCCTTGACCTGATGTCTGTCAAATTCCACTTAGTGTGGTTTTTCCAGGCTTGAAAAATACGTTCAGTCACTGCAAATAGACATTGCCAGGTGGAAAAGCTTACAGGCCAGAGGGATTTCTCCAGAATCCTCTCGGCTTAGAGCGCAGCCGGAGAGCAGTAGTGCAGGCCTCTCCGGGGAGCCGATCAGACGTGCAGAGGCACAACACGCACAACCCGCCAGGCCTGTGTGGGGGTCCGCCTTCCCCCAGGAATTGGGGGCGCTCAGACCAGGAGCTGCCTTGCTCCTGGCTGGTTCTTGCAAGGCCTGGCCTTGGCCTCAAGGTGGCGCTGCCCGCCACCTCGCCCGGCCACCTCGCCCCTGGACCGCAGCACGAGGGGCTGCGGAGCTAATCTCCCCTCCCTCCTCTCTCCTGCTCCTTGCCAGTACCCCCGGCCCAGAGACACCAGCTTTAGCGGCCTGTCCTTGGAGGAGTACAAGCTGATCCTGTCCACAGGTACGGAGAGTGCAGCGGTGCCTTGTGGGTTGTTTCGCGGAGGACTTGAGCTGCAGAGGCCAAAGGGAATCATCCAGTGAGAAGGCTTGCATGCTGCAGGGCCTCGCCCAGAGGGAACCCAGAAGCTCTGGGGCTCAGGCTCCTGAGCTGTAGAATGTAGGGAAAGTCGGAGGCATTATTTAAAAGGAAATCCATCCTTACGGCTTTGAAATTCAACGCTGGGCAGTGGGGGACAAGGACCACATATTTGCCAAATGAAAGTCATTGAAATCAGGATGGAAGGAAAATAATTTTATTTTTATGGTCCCGGGGGGGCTTTACAAGCAATGAGGGTTTTAATTAAAACAAAAAGCCTTTCAGCAAACGGGGATGGGATATCCGCCTGTGCGTTATCAGGCCCAGGGGACGCAGCGTACGGGTGAGATGGGGCCTCACCAGACATGCTTTAGAGTCACGGGTAGACCCCTGGTGGCAAGAGAGGGAGCCCCTGCCCTGCCGAGCCCCCTCTACTCTTCCAGATACATTGTCCTGCTGGGGGACGCAGGCAGGGGGGCCAGGGGTGAAGTAGGCAGGCACTGGAAATCGCTGTTTTTACTGCCAAGGATGCCGTGTACAGAAATAGGCCAAGCTTTCCTGCGGGGCATGGCCCTGGACTGTGCGCGGGCAGGCACTGTGGAAGTGCCTCTTTCCTGTTCTCTGGGAGCTTTCACCAGCTCAGTTTTAGAGAGCTGACCTTCTGGAACACTCTGTCCCTTCCAAGCAGATTGAAGCCTGGTGCCATCGCCTGCCGTGTGTCACAGGAATTCCGGGGCAGAGGTGCTGGTCCAGGCAGAATGGCTTCATGGGGGCTTTTTTTTTTTAGTTTCTTTCTTTTTAAATCGGTACTGGGGATCGAATCATGACCATGCGCTTGCAAGGCAGGCGCTTATGCCGCTGAGCTCAATCCCCAGCCCCTTCATGGGGGCTTTATATTTTCAGCTCCCAAGTCCCTGGGTCTTGTCATCACCAGAACCTAGGCACATTGCCTTGGTGAGGGGCTCAGGGAGTGCAAGCCAGGCCTGCACTTGCACTCGGAGCGGAGGTGAGCTGCAGAGGCGGGCATCTGCCCGGGAAGCCTCCGAGGGCCGGCAGGAAGCCAGGAAGTGCCGCTGCTGCTCCTTCTGCCCCGAGGTCAGCTCGGGAAGCTCACTGATAATTTGTTTTCGCAGCAGGCCTCGTATTTACGCTGCAGCTGTGTGACGAAAGCTTACCAAGTGTTTTCTCTGACAGGGCAAGCAAAGACCTGCCCCACCTTGCAGAGAGAGTTGGAAGGGTGCGAGGGCCTCGGTCATCAGGGTGTCCAGCGTTGGGCTGGGCTCCTGAGAGGCCCTGAAGAGATCTCCCAGTGCAGGACCCCCCACTGTTCACATTTTGTTCCCCATTTGGGAACCTGGACTTTCAGAAAAGTCCCAGGACAGAGGCCATGCTCGGGCTGAGGGCTGTGCAGAGCATGTCGGTGTAGTCCGGAGACTCTGACCAAGAATGCCAGAGGATAATGAAAAGCCACTCTTTCGGTTAAAAATAAATACTTTTTTTTTGTCTATAAATTTCTTTAACAGATACATACGCAGACTCTGAAAACTAAACAGTATGAGCATCCTTAGATATCAGGGAACCTTAGCCTTGGAGAGATTTTAGACCAGAGTTACTCTGCTGGGGAAGAGACCCCACACACACCTGCAGTGACACCTGGAGATGCCCGCATTCCCCGCTCACATCTGTTGGCGTGGAGGTCTGGGCCCCCGCCTACGGGTGTGTGTGTGTTTTTGTGCTGGGGTATGTGTGTGGGTGTGTGTATCAGTCAAGGGGGTGCTGGACTAGCCTGCTGGTGCTGTCCCAGCCCGGCTGTCACAGTGAGGATGGCCGACTTTCCAGCAGGGGCCAGCAATCCTTGTGTTCCTCTAGTCTGTTTCTGTCCTCACTTTGCAGGTGAGGAGCCAGGCTCAGGGGCCGAGAGCAGTTTGCCTGCCTGTCCCTGGGGAAACAATGGGTGGGGGCTCCGGCCCAAGTCCACCTCCTCTCCTGCACACTGGGCTGCACACATGCTGGGGACCTGCCCTGTCCAGGTTAAAATCCCAGGCACCCCACTGTCTGGCTGTCCGACCTGAGAGAGCCGCTTGCCCTCCTCACCCCAGTTTCCAGGCCTGTGGGGAAGGTACCCAGGCCAGTGCCCACGACGTGGGTTACATAGCTGACACCTCAGTGCCATTTCTTCGCCCTTTTGAACAGAGCAGGGGGACAAGAAACAGGCCCTGCTTCGATGGTAAAGGTGAGGAGGGGAGGTGACACTGGTGCTGTGCCCCGTCACCTCAAACTGTCACTTCCACTCTACCCTGCGGACCTGCCTTCCAGAGGCTGGGGCCCCGATTCCTTCCCCAGCAAGCACCGTGCAGAACCCACGGGGCTCGTGCTGAGGGGCCCCGAGGGCTGGCCATGCCGTCAGGTTTCAGACCTGAGTGTGTCTCTGTCTCCCATGCAGACACCCTGGAAGAGTTTCAGGACATGAACAAAGGCCTGTGGAAGAAACTGCAGGAGAGGTTCACCCCCAAGAGTCCTGAGGAGAAGCAGAAGGCCTGGGCTCGGGTCTTGTCTCGCCCGCAGGCCTGAGTGTGGGGTCTTGTACCTGTCAGTATTGCTCCTGTCAATAAAACCGCTGGCTCCCTAACCTCGCTGTGTACCCATGCCAGGAGGGCGTCTCAACCCGCACAGGGATGCATGTGAGCACTGGCCACCGCCAGCAGCCCGGCCTGTGAGGGGCCACCGGCCAGGGGTCTGCGGCCTGCAAGGCCTCTCAGGCTCCTGTTGTCCCAGGAGTGGCTAAGAGAAACCTAAGAGCTACTGGAAGTCTGGGAAGGACGTCCTGTTGCAAACTGAGAGCTGTGGGCAGGAGGCAGTGGAGGCCCAGAAGCAAGGAGCTTGGCACCTGCAGACTCAGCACAGAGCTCGGGCCGCTGCCCGTGTGTCCAGGAGGCTGAAGGCACAGCAAAGGTCCAGGCAGACGGCCGTGGTGGGGTGGGCCTCGGGCTGCAGCTGCCTCCAGCCCTGGCAGGCACATGGGGTGAGGCCTGCTGTCGGGACGCCTGGAGCCCTGCCCAAGAGAGCTGCGGTGTTGGCTCGGAGAGGGCACCACTGGCAGCGCCACCTGGACACTCAGCACAGGTGGCTGCCAGCCACCTGTGAATAAAACAGAGGGTTACACCAAGGCACTCTGCTGTCCTCAGAGCCCAGGGAGCAGTCGCTGTGGGCTGAGGTGGTTGTGTGTCCCCTGAGAGCTGAGCTAGCGGAGACGGCATGTGTCCTGTCCTCTGCTGGTTTACAACAGTACCCATTTGTCCCTGTTGGCCTGGGAAGTAAAGGAAACATCCATCCTTCGTGAACTAGAATCTATTAATTTATTTAAGGCAATTAATGAATTAGTTCCAGGGACAAAGGATTTATAAAACATTACACCAAAAGAAAAAAATAAGGCAAAAGATAGCCACTCTCAGGGGGCTCAGCCCTGTTCCCTGGGGTGTGAACTCCCCAGGAAGCCAGGGGGAGGGGCTCCAGACAGGCTCTGCATCTGCACGTGGCCCACAGCAGAGCAGGTCAGCGGGGCTGGCACGGCACCTCCAAATAAGTTAAATAAGAGCGAAAGTTCGAAAGTCCTTGGGCAGCGGCGTGCTGCCACCTCCCCCAGCGGCAGCCAGCAGCCGGAATGTAGTGTTAGAGTTGCCCGCCCGGCCACTCTCAGGGAGGGCTGGGAAGCGGTGTCCTACTTCCTGCTCGGAAGGACTTGTCTTTGTCTGAGGCATTAAGGTAAACTGAGTCTCTGAGGCTGCCGGTGCCAAGGCTCCCCCTCTTGGCTGGGCTCGAGGGTGTGGGGTACCTGGCAGAGTAGGAGGGCAGGCACCTCACATTGGGAGTCTGGTGGGCAGCTGAGCGGTCAGCAGAGACAGGCAGCGTTTCCAGCTGGTCCCGGGACGCGGGTCCCCTCCGGGCCTTCGTGGGCTCTCAGCGGCTCATGCAGTTCTGGACGTCAACAAAGCCCAGGCGCTGCCTGCGTTTGCGCTGCTCCGTCATCTGGAGTCAAACGTGTCCAGTCAGGATGGGGGCACCCCAGTCCCCAGGGGCCCAGCTGGGCTGCAGCACAGATGTCAGCCTCACCCGCGTTCTCACTCAGCTCAACACAAACCCCTGGCCTGGCACAGCTGGGAGAGACCCTGCCTGTAAGAGGGGCCACCAATGCTATGGGCACCACCAGGGGCAGAGGCAGATGCTCTGGGCCAGGGGATCCCAGCAGCAGCAGTTGGATGCCTGAGCCTCCTGTCACCACAGTGCCAACAGGGACCGCCTCCCTTGACCAGACTTGCTGGGGCTGCCCAGCCCCACTGGGACCCAGCAGGGGACCCCAGCACCCCCTGCCACTCGCAAGGCAGCGGGGGGCCGGGCAGGGGAGAGCACGCACCTGCTCCTTGAGCTCGTTGAGCTGGGCGGTGAGGTGGGACACCAGCTTCATGGTGGAGCCAAGCTTGTCCTGGAGGATGCGGATCTCGTTCTGCTCGCCCTCGCCCTCGCTGCTCACCAGGGACATGGCCCGCATCCTTGGGAACCAGTCCAGGTTCTTGTTCTGCAAGAGACTTGCGGCGTGAGCAGGCCTAGCCGAGCGGCAGTGCTGTGCTCTGGAAAGAGTGGTTCTGGGCCAGGCTGCCGCACCCTTGACAACATTCCTGGCCTCCATGGGTCATGGGAAAATCTGAATTGGCCACCTCCTGCTAGACGGTCCTTGGCCCTGTCAGCCCCATCTGTTGACTCCCGACACGGCGGTGCAGGGGACCTCCCCACCCAGACCCAGACCCAGGCCTCGAATCTCCTTCCTTCCGCCCACTCGCCCCACACCCCAGGAAGGGGTGAGTCAGAGAGCAGACTCAGCAGGACGGCACTGGCGAGGGCTGGCATCTGACACATCGTCACTTCGAGGCTAAGCCATGTCCCCAGGACACCAAGCAGTTTCTTGGTCTTTGTTACAACTGACAAGGCACCCAAGAACCCCATACCCAAGAGCATCCAGGGACAGCCGTCATGCTTGGTGCCAACAGGTTTGCCCTGGTTTGCCTGCCCGAAACCATGACACAAGGCCACTCGCACACAGCAGCTGGCAGCTGGCAAGGTGTGCAGAGCTGGGGGCTGGTCCAGCTGCCGCTCACCTCCAGCTGCTTCCAACAAGTGTCCACAGCTGTCTGCCCCTCAGGCCTCCCAGGACTGCGTGGACAGATGGGTCACTCTGCCAGCACCCAGGAGGCGGGGAGCTGAGGCCCTCTCACACCTTGATCATCTGCGCCACGTAGCTCTCGGGGCCCGTGTAGTCTGTCTTGTTCTTCACGCGCACCAGCACGATGAAGTGCAGGTAGCTCCACATGTTGTGCTCCAGCTTGATGTGCTCCTCAAAGGACACTGTCTTGTTGTCGAACTTGTCCCTCTCCAGACCTGAGGGGCGGTGGGGGGTGAGAAGGCCTCAGCCTCGGGAGCCTCACAGGGCCCCTTGGGGGAGGGGATCATTGTTCTCATGATAGACAGCACCGGGCAGCCTGGGTCACCGTGTCTAAGGTGCCAGCCACTGCACCGTACAGACCCTGCCATGCCCAGCTGTAGCCCTCCTGCAGTGGCTGCTGGGGACCCTGTGTGCAGTGCTACCCTTCCCAGTGGGTGCGGGGCCTGTTCTGTGGGCAATAGAGAAGCACTGGCTGGAGACCCGAAGCTCAAGGCCCGCACAGCACTGCCCCTTCCCACGTCCACCTGTCCCTAGGCTCAGGCACAGGCACAGCCTCCCTGGCCGTGGCCGCCCTGGCCTGCAGGGGCCGGGCCTCACCGCAGATGAAGCACGTGGTCTTGAGAATCTCCTCCTTCTTCTGCTTCTCGCTGCGCAGGTCGGCAAAGGTGTCAATGATGACCCCAAAGATGAGGTTCAGCACAATGATGATGACGATGAAGAAGAAGAGCAGGTCGTACACCACGCGGGCGGGGAACAGGGACTCCTGCGGGGCAAGACAGCAAGGCTGGGCCCAGGGTCCCTGGGCCCGGCAAGACAGGACAGGACAGGCAGCTGGGGCGGACCGAGCCAGGTCCCAGATGGTGAGGCTGCCTCTCGGAGCTGACTCAGCCTCACGCCTTGCCTTGGCTGCGGAGACCGGAAACTGGGGAGCCCCTGCCTGACTCACACCTCCCGGCCCCTGGGCCAGGTCTGGCTGCCAGAGTCTCAGCCTCTGGTGAGCTGGGAGGAAGAGGGAGGTGCGAGCGACCTGGCAGTCAGCCGGGGGAAGGCCAGAAAAGCGGCCTCACAAGTTGGGGTGTCCACACTGAAGGTCGAGGGGCACCGGTGGGTCCCAAGCACAGGCCGCTCCCTCTCACAGCCCCCACCTGGACAGGGCACACTCACATCCTTGGAGGGCTTGCGGAGGATGTCGCCCACGCCGCCACCATTGCGCAGCCCGTGGTTCATGACAGTAACAATGCACATCAGCAGGGTGTCACAGGCCCGCTCCATGCTGTCCGCCGCCTCGTCCTCTGT